GAAAAGGCTGAAAAGAAAGCAGAAGACAAGGAGGCAAAGAAGAAAAAGCCAGCAGACAAGTCCAAGAGCAAGGACAAGGATAAAGAGAAGAACGCTGAAAAGGCTGAAAAGGAGAAGAAGCGGAAGAGCGAATCTCCGTTCGATCAAGCAAGAGCTGAGAAGCGACAGCGTGGAGAAAAGGAGCTGGAGTGAATCAAGGTTGCGGTTTAAAACACAAGCAAAAGGCCGTGAGGGCGGAAATCGCCCAGCAGCAAGCGTGAGGGCGAAATCGCCCAAGGCAAAGATGTTTCACAACGGAAGCTTTAGGAAGAAGCTTGTGACAAGAGTGGGTAAAGCCACAGCAAAAGCCACGAGGACTACGTAAAAGCCCCACGGCAAACATCAAAGCACTACGACTACGAGCACAACGATTGTTTAGGTCAATGACAGAAGGCTGAAAAGCCGATGCAGGACTGATGAAAGAAGTCCAAAAGCCAAGAAGGCAAGCCAAAGTTTCCAGATTGCCGAAGAGCAAGAATGGACCTACATCGCGAAACGCGACGTGAAGAAAAAGTGAGTGCGCATTTAGAATCTGAGTGAGTCCATGCCAATCGTGTGTGGAGTGGAAATTCGCAAGTCTGCTATAGGACATCTGAAGATTGAGGATGAAGACCAAAGGAAGAAAGGGATAAAGATGTTCAACAAGTGCTCAAAGAAGCGTGCGAGAAGAGAAGAACAAGCTCACAGGAGCATGCGAAAACAGTGGTAGAAGTAGGAAAAGTTTCACAAGGATCACGTTACACGACGAAGCTGTGTACGTGATGAGGGCGTAACAGATAGTTCAATTTTCCCTAATGCCCATTTACATACAGAAATCCAGTGTTTCACCGCAGGTCAAACGTAGGCTCAAGACAGCCCGACAGCGGAGCACGGAGTGAGAAAAGAATCCAAGCTCGCGCCGTTGTTAAAAGAAGAAGTATACTGGTATAAGGGTTTAAACTTTCACACTACCACTACCACTACCACTACCACTACCACTACCACTACCACTACCACTACCACTACCACTACCACTACCACTACCACTACCACTACCACTACCACTACCACTACCACTACCACTACCACTACCACTACCACTACCACTACCACTACCACTACCACCACTACCACTACCACTACCCCTACCACTACCACTACCACTACCACTACCACTACCACTACCACTACCACTACCACTACCACTACCACCACCACCACCACCACCACCACTACCACCACCACTACAAGGGGCGTCAAACAGGGCTGCCCCGCCAGTCCGTTGTTGTTCGCATGCTTCCTTACACTGGTCACTAAACGCATTGCCAGCCGCCTCTCTGAAGACTGGGTCTCTCGGTGCCTGACCTTGTACGCGGACGACTTCCACCTAGGAGATCTCTTTCATGGGTACGCCGGTCTCGAGAATCTCTGTTCCCACATTGGGTTCATTGTGTCCACCCTACGTGCCCACGGCATGAATGTCCACGCCACAAAAGCGCAGGCCATCCTCACGATGGACGGTGCGCAGCGAGGCACGGCACTGCAAAAGTTGACCAAACAAACTACAGCTGGAAGACTCCTCCGAATACATGTCCGAACGGGGGAGGAATACTTACCCCCTAGTCAAGCAGGCTGATTACTTGGGAGCCGTGACCACGTATGCTTCATCCGCAACCGCCACACTCCGCAAACGCATGCAACAGGCTAAGGCCACGCACGCCCGCCTCCGTGGTGTCCTGCACGCATACCGTACACTGTCACTTCATCATAGAACCCGACTCTGGAAGGCCACTGTCTGGCCCTGCCTGGCTTATGGACTAGAGACGTGCGGGTTGACTGCAGAACACCTTAGTCAACTGCAAACTCTAGTGATGAAGCACTTACGAGGGATTGCCAGAAGCCCTGCACACCTCACGCATGAGTCTGACGCTCACCTTGCTGAACGCCTCCAGGTGCGTTTACCTCGTGCAGCGCTCCGCAGTGTTTTCGAGGCCTCGTTTGGTAGACAGGAACCTGAGGATGCACATGTCATGTCCTTCTCGCACCCGTGGAATCAACTCCTGGCCGAGGGGCTCGCTGAGCCCACTGACATAGGGAGGGAAGCAGATTCCCACCGGCAGCCCTATGCCTCCACGCCCCCTCCCACATCCGCAGGTCCTATGCAGGCTGCGGTCGACCCAACGGACACATCGGAGCCGCTGGTTGAGGTGGCCGTCATAGCTTCGGCATCAGATTCGGTTGTTCATACCCCCGCGGCCCCCGCGCCCGCAACGTTCCCAGTTGGGACCGGGACGCACGACCCGGCACCAGATGAGCACCTGGTATCATCTCCCCGAGCAGCACCTTCCGCGCCCACACGCACGCCAGAACATGCCCAAGCCTCACAGCTCGACCCACCACCACCGGAGCCACCAACACCAGCAGAGTCCTTTCAGTGTCCCCAGTGCCCCAAGATCCTGGACACACGCAAAGCCCTTAAACTGCATATGGCCCGTACCCACAAGGTTAAGATTGAGCCCCAGGCCTTTGACAGAGCCACTCACTCCCTAGACGGCGTACCAACATGCGCATACTGCAAGCACGCCTTCACTCGGTGGGAGGTTTTGGCTAAGCACATCAGCTCTTGGAGTTGCCCGCGAATGCCACTCCCTGCCTCACACACCGCCTCGACCCCACCCACGACCTCACCACCACCTCAGACACCTGCTGCACAAACACCGCCCTCTGCAGGACAGCGACAGGCCATGGGCCTGGATGGGGATGATATGAACGGCGCTACGAAGGCGCCACACCCTGTGCCGCAGCGCCAACCAGCTTCCGCACAGGACACGCTTGAATGTTCCCTCCTGACACAGGTTCGGGAAGTCCTTCGACAGGGCGGGGTTTCAGCTCTTTTGCGACACCCGCTGCAGTCAACACTCAAAAGTCACTGTGGTCTGTGTGGACAGTGGATGGCTACGCCAACAGCTTTGCGCAATCACTACCGCAGCATTCATCCTGATTCTTTCCGCAGCGCTGCAGCTCTAGCAGAACGTCACATGCCTCGGGTCGGCATAGCTATGAACCCTTGTCTGTACTGCAACTTACCGCACCGGCACCCGCGTCAGCACTTGCCACATTGTGTTAACCTGTGGCAGAGCTGCCTCTTGAGCATACTTTTTCCCTCTAGCGATGACCGGGAATCAGAGGACCCAAGCCTCGGAGGATGTGCTGACCCAGCTGCAGGAATCCTTCGGAGCAGTGATCGGGAAGCGAGGGGCAGCGGCACCTGCTCAATCCTCGATGGACGATCGGTCGAACAAGGTGGGCCGCGGGGCGCTTCAACTGGGCGGCAGGGGCAAAGGATTTCAGGGACGAGGCTTTCAGGGACGTGGTCGACAGCCGCAGAACCGCGCCAGGGGAGCCTGGCAGCATGGCTCCGAGGAACAGGACCAAGACGGGGAGCTGTTGCAAATGGTGGCGAGGGCGGTGATCATGCAGGGCGACTCGATCAATGTCATTCGCCGAGCAACGGGCTGGGTCTTCTGGGTCCGATCCGGAGACCACTCGATCCTACCGATGCTGGCGGAGCTGGCCACGAAGTGGCACGATGCGGCCCAGGCGGAGACCATCTCTCCGGCTCGTGTGTCTCTCCGGGTGGCACTGTTCTGGGGGATCGGTGGAACCCTTCGCATCAGTCCCTGGAAGTGGACCCGGAGAGACCGGCACTCACGCAGGCTCAAGCCCAGGAGTCCCTGGAGCTCCTCCTCAAATTGATCAACGGAGATACAATCACCCGTTTCACGGCCAGGAGAGAGCTACATGCCGACATGCAGGGCCACTGCCGTTCTCAGGAGCTTGGGAAGCCCGACGTCAGGAGCCCGGTGGGATTGTCATACAGGACGGCGGCAGCTGTCTAGAATCAGTATCCATTGATCTCCCGCCTATTATAGAGGTGGTGCAGGCACTGTACAGTCCCTATTACATGGATGGCACTATCAGTCTAGCATCCACGCTCTCAGTCAACCACCCAATGTGCTCATTCTCCGACTCGCACGGTTCATCGATACACGCCGAGGGATACGTAAGCACACAGGCATGATTAGCTGGGGCTCGATCATTCATGTGCCGGTGTTCTCGGGCGTGGAGTTGGAATCCACTAACCTCCAGTACAGGGTTTGCGCTGCCATTCTCCATCACGGCCCCCGGGTTGAGCAGGGACACTATACTGCGCTCACCCACCATGCAGACAAGGCCTGGCTCTTCGATGACAATGGTCCGCCGTGGACCCGAGCGCAAACACACCCTGCGCCTCGCGCCAGGTATATCTTCTGATATGCCGGCGCCTGGGGCACAACTAGCACAGGCATGCCTTGGGACTCTCCGAGCAAGTGTAGCCGCCTTACCATCTTCCCCCCAATCTCCCATGCTTCCCCGTGTTTCAGGTTGTGAGGGGCTCATCCACTGCGGATGATTGGGGCGGGGATGGCGTTGGCGCTCCGAGCTCGAAAATCAGCTTGTCGGCCTGGTACGCCAGCACATGTGCACTCGTGTGCGTCTTGAGTCTTGCACCTTGAGCCTCTAGACACAAGCAACTTCACACAGCCTGAGTACCGAAGTGCATCCCGCCTTTGCGCCGCCGCTGGCTGGCCGCATCACTGCAACATGCGCTTTGTCTTGACATGCATCATGGCTCAGCACACGGCTAGTGTACCTTCCCGGCCATCCTCCCACAAGCACATCCACGTCCCGCCTGATCCCGAACTTGACCCAAATCATACCTTAAGACGCCATAAGACTCCTCGGTGACCCATAATGCCCGGCAGGGACCCCACTTTCATATGTCCCGTCTGCAGCATCTGCCACAGACCAACAAGATTACATGTTACCCGTCATCCCGGAGCCAGAACATAGTCCACCCCGGACGTGTTCCGGCATGGTGCCTTGGTTCGCATACTTTCTCTTTGTGTGATGATGGGTTTTAAATAAAAAAAACATCGATCATGTTACCACGAAAGCCGGCTGACGTCCCACAAGATATATGGGAACTGGAGCAGCCATCCATCCTGGGCATGGCGTACGGGAGATGTGCGGACTCTGACGAGGACTTACCGTCGTCTGCCTTTGTTGCAGCCTCAACTACCTCGTCACGTTCCCGATCGCGCTCCCGGGATTTGACCGCGGCTACAAATTCAGATCCAGTGACTCCCAAGGCCTCGAGAGTGGGGCAATCACGAGCCAGGGTCTCCCGGGATGGGCAACCGCTGGCCGACACACTACCTGCCATGGAAGATTGCCCTGCGTCTGATCCAGCTCCTGTTCCTGATCCCAGTCCTGATCCCGGCCCCGGCTTTGATCCTCTGACGCCACGGATGCTACGGACGACTCCGTGGAACTCATTGATAGGCCGACGGTCTGGAGCGACTTGTGGAATATTAGCCGGGCGGAAAATGCGCTAGCCTACCAGCTCCGACTGCCTGCCGATGGACTTCTCCCCCACACGCCGGTCTCGAGCGCTCATGTGGTGGAACACTTGGCATACCGTGTATGTCGGCAAGGCTTCTGCCACTCCGAGGACTTCTGCACTATGGCTACCCTTCTTCCAGAGCAATCACATGTGAAGCGACGGCAAACAACCACTTCAGACGGCGCCACAGGAGGGTTGCAGCGTGCTTTTCTTACAGGCGCTTACTCGATAGGTGGCGGCGGTATCCGTGGTATTCAGACCAACACTGGTCTGTTTCCTTGGCTCACTACCTGGCTCACCTCAGTGATTCGAGGCACTAAGAGTGATCACCAGTTCAGCAGTTGCGCGTTTTTGGTCAACACTTTACATTATATGCATCGCGACACTGGGAACGCACCGGGCTCCACCAATCTGCTGATTCCATGCAACCGCTGGAAAGGAGGCCAACTCTGGTTGGCAGACGCGGGTGGATCGATAAGACTGGAGGAGAATGGGCCGCCAGGTATACTCTTGCCGGTGGCTCGACCTTACCTCCAGCTGAATCCGGACACTTTGCACGCTACCTACCCCTGGAGTGCTGGCGACCGAATCCTGTTGGTGGCCTACCACGCCAGAGCAGTGGACAAATTGCCGGAGGAGGGGCACGCTCAGCTTCGTCGTCGAGGCTTCTACTCCCTCCAGTTCGACTCTACAGACCGACACCGCACTTTGAACTACGGTGCCGGGTCGAGTGACGACTGAGACAGGGACGGTGCTGAGCAGCGAGCGGGCCACTGAGTGTACATAGCAGCGGATAGGCTGTAACTCTGTGCTGGTACCCTCTAGAACCTTCTGAGGCTGTTCTCTCGGTTTGCACTTTGTATGAACAATCACTTACATCGACTTGGAACGCTGTCACTCCTCGATGCTTAACGGGCCCCTCGGGGCGGGGCATCGAGCTCTGCTTCTCAGGATGGTGCATCAACCCGTGATGCGTCGCTATGCGACCGGGCTCAAAGCCTGACCTACTTATCCTGTCGCACAGCTAGGACCTCCTTAGCGGCGTGTAAAACGAAACGAACCACCACTACTACTACCACCACTACTACTACCACCACTACTACTACTACTACTACTACTACTACTACTACTACTACTACTACTACTACTACTACTACTGCTACCACGACTACTACTGCTACTACTACCGCTACTGCTACTGTCACTGCCACTGCTACTGCTATCGCCACTGCCGCTGCCACTGCTACTGCGACTGCCACTGCCACTGCCACTGCTACTGCTTCTGCTACTGCTAAGCACCCTGGCTCACAGTGTTGACTCTAGCGTGCGTAGTGTGTGCGGTAGGCTGCAGGATGGAGCTTTTCAATTACCGCCTCCTCCTCGCTCTCGCCTGCCTTCCCCTACCCGGACCCTCACAGCTCCAGTGGCTCAAGCTCCCTGTACGGGTCCGGGTCCGGACCTCCATCTGCTGACAGTCCCAATCCTGCTGTATGCATGCCGGCTGCGCAAGCATTCGCCAGCCGACGCATGTCTGCATTCTGTCCGGGTGACTGCAGGCTCGAGCGCACAGATATCATAATTAGCCCAATCCCGGCTTGGCCTCACTGAGGTCTCGTCATGGCATCCGATCATGGCATCCGATACTCCATCGTTGGTTGCCCCGGGCACTCCGGATAGAGCTCCCCTCTCACCGCCTGCCATGCACTCTGAGTCGGCAGCGGCTGCACCCTCCAGCTGCTGCCCACCGACCAGATGCTACAGATGACCCGCCGAGCTCTCCTGATAAAGACACCATGCTCCGAGCTGCGGTGAAAGCGGAACGCATCATGGCACCCGAGCCCACCGACGACATGGATAGTGACGCCCTGTGACGAGGCAACGAACGAAGCAGCCTGCCGGCACAGAGCCTGGTATGAGGCCAGAGGACAGCCCCTTGCCTGTGAGTTTCCGTACGCAGGCGGGGGTGGGCTCAGGCCAGGTACCAGAGCCATAGAAGAGGGTAGTAGCAATCAAGCTGTCAAAAACGAAAATCTGTTTTTTTGCGGAGGTTGAATGCTGCCCATGCTTGCGCTGACCTCGCCTTGACCTCCCTTAGCAAATGTCCCTGGTGGTGGAGCACGCCGCCGAGATGCTTGCAGGCGGCTGTAAGACGCAAGCGTGCAGTAGGTCAGAGGCGGCAGGGGAGGGGGACAGTCTTGCCCCTGCCAAGATTGGGCAAAAGGGCATGCTCCAGACAGGCATCTATGAGGGTCGTGGCCCGGAACCGAAGGCGGTCAAGGAAGGCATGGGTATCAGGAGCCTGCAGAAGCAGGGAGAGATCGTCCATCCATGTGAAATCTAGGAGTTCGATCTGGGCTGTACCGGGAGAGGAACGAGTCTTCCAACCATGGCTGGATCCCAGGGCACCCGTGAGACAAATCCAGCCTCCCGCAGGGTATGGCAGATTTGACGCGATACTCGAGCAAACAGGAGGCTAAAGACGAGATCCGACAAGGAGTCACCAGGCTTGGAGCCAATGCTCGAGTTCAGGCTCCCTGGAAAAGCGGCACCATGTTTCGTGGATGGACTCTTCGAGAGCAAGAGTCGCCCACTCACTGGCGCCAGCACTCCGGGAAAGGGCAGGCTGTTGCAGATGTTGACGCAAATCCTGGAAGACACCACTTGGAAGATTGACGGCGTGGCAGGCTCTCGCCAGGGCATCCTCGGTGAAGGGACCGCCAGTGATAAGCGGGCGCACAATACGGTGAAAGGCCTCTTGGAGGTCCAGGAACAGGACTCCGTGACAGAGACCCTTGCGAAGACATGCCGACTGATAAAGGCGCGTGGCATGCGCCGGCACTGTGACGGCAGGCTGCCAACCTGCAATGGGGATGCAACCTCAACCAAAGCGGGCACACACTGTCTTCGCAAGAGCTTGTGGAAAGACTTGCCAACAACAGAGGAAATTAGAACTCCACGATAGGAGGAGCAAAGCTGTCAGGGGCCCTTGTGTTTGTATACGCCACTTTGCGCAGTGCAGGACTCCGCCTGTGTGCTGAATCGGCTCGGCGAAGGGAAGGAGGGACTTAAGCTGTAGCTGGTACGATGGCCGAGCCAGTTCGGCAGCACAGTACTGCAAGAGCTCGCCGGGAAGGCGGTCCAAACCATAAGCTTTATCCGTCGAAGTAGATCGAAGAGCCCATTCAATCAGGCTCAATGACGGGGCGTCAGCGGACGAGACCTGGTAGTCCTCCAAGCTTCTGGCAGCTTGGCGCATGTGGCAGGAGTGTGCTAGGGCGACAGGCCCGCGTAGTCGGCCGTCCATGGAACAACAAAGAAGGCGTCATGAAGCCCATGGAGGACCCAGCCAACCGGATCGTAGAGATCACCCAGGAGCTGGCCACACCCAGCATCCAACCACAGCTGCGCAACAGATTTCACGCCACCAAGCAGCTGCAGGAACACATGGAGGGAACGACGGTCACTTGGCTTTTGGAAGTAGGATGGAGAGGCAACAAGACGGCTCGCTTCTGGGAGCTGCCGCAGCTTCTGTTGCAGAACTCGGCTTTGCTCCTGATCGGCTGCACTCTTCGTCCGGACCGGTTGCAGCGAGCCGCCCTCTTGCCCAACAACTGAAATCCCTCCTCCAGTCCATGAACATGCCGATGCCTCGGCAGCAGTAGCCGTCATTCAGCAGTTGCAGCCCCAAAATCCCTCCAACCAGTGCTACTCGCACGCATGTTTGCTCTCTTACCTGTGGACCATTGCCCACTCGCCCTCCTCCTTTCAGGGTCCTGGACCGGGAACAGCTAAGAAGCTTCTTCAAGCAGGCACGGCGATCCCCTCGGCTTCAGCTCTGGGCCTTGCTGCCATGGAGACAGGCAATGCAACGATGGCATCAGCCTTCGCGACAGCACGACGCTGCAGACTTTTTCCTGCACCTACATCAGCTACTACGGCGACGACTGCTACGATCAGACCTACGATTACATAGCAAGTAGTAGAATGGTGTAATAAGTGGTAGGAAGTAGTACTAAGTAGACATGGTAATGGCAGTGGTGGAGGCGGTGGTGGGTAGTCTTGTGGTGGTGGTGGTGGTGGTCGTGGTCGTGGTCGTGGTCGTGGTCGAGTTAGAGGTAGAGGTAGAGGTAGAGGTAGAGGTAGAGGTAGAGGTAGAGGTGGAGGTGGAGGTGGAGGTGGAGGTGGAGGTGGAGGTGGAGGTGGAGGTGAAAGTGGAGGTGGAGGTGGTAAAGGTAGAGGTAGTGGTAGTGGTAGTGAGACTGAAAGCGGGAGCAGGAGTAGCAGTATGAATAATACTAGTGATAATAATAATGGCAGTAGTAGGAGCAGCAGCAGCGGCAGCCTCAGCAACTGTTGCAGCTGCCTTGTGCAGCTTTTCGTTATTCCTGGCGAAGACATGGTTCTTTCTGACCGTCTTTGCGAATTGCTTTGAGTCGGTAGCATGCTTGCGGTAGCATTAGGACTGGCCCTCGCCGTGGTCCCCTCGACAGAAGCTGACGGAGAGGCCAGACGATTCGGCGGCTCGCCTCATCCCGACCGACAGGTCATGTCACGTTTATCCATGTCGATGGCCTGGGGGTAAGCTCGCATGGCAATCGATACTCATGTCAATGCCCGGCAAAACTTTGCACTTTGAAGGCGTTGCTCGTGTGCACACATATTTGCGAGAAACTTGACTGAGCATGTCCAGCCTTCCGCACGATGTTGACTCCAATCTTGCCAAGCTTTTGATGCCTTTCCTGAAACTGTTGTGCCAGCAGCGAGCGGCCGCTCTCGGTGCGATCAGGGATGCACCGCTATACGAGTTGCGAGCTTGGCACTGCGGAATGTCAGCTTCAGCTTCGCACGGCCGTGCTGTCATGCGAAGCGTCTCTGTCCAAGGCGACCAAGCGAGCAGCTCGGCCTCGAGGTGCCGCTCCTCTGCGAAGCTTAGCGCCCTCTACACTCTGCTTTGCCACCACGAGTGGCCGCATGGCTGTTGGTCTCTTGTCTCAGTCCGGCGATTCGCTCGGCATCCTTCGACGGCGAGTCGCCCTGGGCGTCGCTGCGAGGCATCCGCCCCACCGCTATCAGCACAATCGGAATCAGTCCGGGTGACTATGGATGGTTGCAAAGGGTAAGGAGTGTCTTCTGAACTATGAAGCCGGGTTGTACTTGGTTAGACTGTCCACAGCGAATCCGCGCACACGACAGAACCCAGAAGAAAAGCCGCAGAAACCAGTGCGATAAAACAAGCAACACTATGAAACACACAGGGCAATGCCAGAGAGTCAATCACACGAGAAAACCAACTCACCGGGAGTTTTAGATCAGCCTTGCTTGAGTTCTTTCTTCCAGAGTTTCGAGTTTATTCGGTGTGTTGCTGCGTGTTTGGTTCAGTTCGATATTCGTCATTTGTCACGCCAAGTGCACGAGAACCTGCAGCGACGTAAACCCCATCGTCCAGAGATGCCTCTCGAAACCCATCCAGTCCCCTTGAACCTACAAGAAACCTACATACCAGACTATGTCAGTTCCATCTAACTATCTTTCTTTCTCAACAAACATGTTCGTCTTCCATTGGCCCTTAGAGGGTCGTGCGTGCATTTTTGATCAGGGACACATTGAGCCGGAAGCACAATGCGAGTAGCTTTATCAAAGTGGGCAATTCATGTCCATGTCTCAGTTATGATAAGATGTTCTTGAGTTCTGCTGATCTTGCTCAGTTCCAGCCTAGTCAGGTATATGCAAGCAATACACTACCCTGGAGATGCTGGGATGTGATGTGATAAGCTGGCAAAGTTATGGTTTCCTGAGATGCGCTCTTTCGCCATCGGGGTAACGCACAACGCAGCAGCCGGGATGCCATGTAGGGAGTGCTCGCACCGGGTGAGCAGTCAGTCTCAGAGCCAAAGACAGTGGGGGTTTCACCTCCCCGCCTTAGATGCATCACTTATGACTCATGACTGCAGCAAGCTTGGGCTTGCGACCTCAGCCGGCAAAAGCAAAGTACGAGGTTGCCCAGGGCATCTTCATTGAGATGCTCAGGACCGGTGCTGCCATCACTGCAGCAGCAGGAGCTGCACTCCATCCAAAGAAGAGGAACGAGAAGGAGGACAAAGGAGCGGCGCAGGAAACCCAAGCTGGTGCTGCAGCTCGACAATGCTTACGTAAATTTCACAGAGGTAAGGAGCAGGAGGAGGAGGCCAGAGTCGTTGATGACTCCGACCATTGTGACACAAGGAGATGACATGCACGTTTAGGGTATCTGGGCATTGTCATGGGCAGCTGAGGCGGGATGTTAGTGGAGAGCATCTGCATCGGAAGTGTCTTCTACTTGTATGAACCGCAGTCTTCGAGCATGTGCGAAACACGGGCCAAAGTAGACCAACCCCTCTTTTACCACGCACACCTCTTTCTTCGACTATCCATGTCAAGCGAAAATCTTCGACACATCCAACAGACAACAACATCATTTACATGTATCTTCATGGGCTCACTTGAGGGAGATGTGTTTCGACCAAGTTGTATTTTCTGAGACCTCGCATTGTTTGCAAGAGCTTGAAATAGTTGCATGCACACCTGGCAGACGTGCTTCCATTAAAAAACGAACAGCAGAGTATGTATCTGCTTCTGTTTGGCCGACCTTTGCATATCTTATTCGACCTTGTTCGGGCATAGTGTGACTCGCCGGATTCAATTGTTCAGATTCAAAATGGCGATCACAAAGGCGAAACCTTGATACATGTTCGCTGCTCGCTTGTGAAGAGAACGAAGTGCATGAACGGCAACCTTACTCAAAAGCAGAGTGAAACTCGCAGTTGGTTGAATCATGAACATGGTTTCATTTTCACTCTAATGACGATTGCTGCATTCTCCAATGTACATAAAGTACATATATATATATATATATATATGTGTGTGTATATGAGAGAGATAGCCCTAGGGTCTGTTTTACCACCGAATATTACCTTGCTGCATCTACATGAGAATATGTGAAATACAATCCGGCCGACATTGTTTATTTTATGTATCTATTAAATCATAAAAATGTTCAATCACTAAAATCCGACCGATCTACCCCTGTTTTAATAAATATTAGAAATATCAAATATGTTAAACCCGACCGACTTTACATATTTTATTGATTTGCTCTAGTAAACCCAGATAAATTTTTCAAACGTACTAAATAAACTAAATGCAACTGCTCCAATTTTTTCATGTATCTAGCATATTTAATATAGTTAATATACTTAATGTAGTAAATACACTTAATACGTTGAATACTTTTACTCTATTTAGTAGATTTGTTTTTGAAGAAGATGTTAGATATATCTAGTATGTTTTTAACATAGGGGGAAACCTCCGGATGAGATTCTAAAGACAGAATTATTTGTGTCATGTGTTTTATGTATACAGAAAATATTTTCTTTACGATACTTGCCGGAGGTTCCCCTATTTTAAAATACAAAGTGAATCCGGCCGGTTATCAGATGCTGAAAACATTGAATATGTTAGGTAACTAACATCCGACCGATTTGCTTTCTTTAATACATTTAATATATCTTAAATAGGCGGACACCTCCGGATGAGATGTGAAAGGCAGCTATGTTTTCTTTATTCATTTTATTTACTTTTTATTCAGTGCAGAATAATATGTCAAATATATCAATAAGTACAGTTCGACCGATTTAATGTATTTAATATATTGACAAACTCACTATATTGCAAATAGGGGGAGCTCTCTGGATGTCAAGATTGGAAGTCCATGTACACATGCTAGTTAGGCCAAGCTGTGCAAGCGGGCGAATGAAACCGACTGGATTGATTGATAATGTTTACTTGGTGCGATCGGAAGCTCGGCCATCTGATTTCTGTCTTGTATGCAGACTGCCGTATACATGAGACATTTGTTTGGCGAGATGTTTAACCTTTTCGAACTGCCCAATCGAATGACTTCAGAAGGTTGCCCAACTTGTTCAAACATGTTAACGCCAATCTGAATAGCAAACTAGGGCCGCAGGCCTTCATGCGACGGGTTAGATAACCCACGGTCCACTCGACGGATTTCCAAAAACCATTTCCCAATCACATTTTCCGTTCGTGCGTAGAGAAGGTTGGATCTTTAGCCTTGCAGTCACTAGCGACTGACTGAAGTCACCACAGTCACCCTTCCAATAGTGTCCAAGCACCCCGCCAACTGGCCAAGTCGCATCGCAGCACATGGAAGCCAGAGAACAAAGTTGAAAGTGCCAAATCACAGCGGGCATGTTCACACCTGAAGCCGTCATTGAGTCATTTGTGCTATTCTCTTGATAAGTTTCCCGATAGCCATGACTTGTCGCTGCCAAGACCTGTCAGCTCCTCCTCCAGTGGCCAATGAAAGAACCGGACACGACTTGTTGAGGCATGCGCTCGAAAGGTGCAACAATCGCAGCCCCAAGCAAGCAAACCTGTCTGGTCAGAACAGATTCTTGTGTGGGAGGGCGGGGCCTAAGCAGATTTGAGTCGGTTGCTCCAGTTCTTGAGAGTGTACCTGTGAACACTGGGCCTGCCAGATGTGGCTGGGCCAGTCCGATGGCCGATGGAAAAAAGAGGCGCATAGCAGCACAGCAGGGATATGGGACAATTTTTCATACACGGCATTGGGTTCTCATGGGCAGCTCGTCAAAGTGATCAAGATTGAAAAACCCGGCAAAGTTCTTTCACATCATGTAGTCATGTAGGTTGAGGGACTGTCCTGAGCTCCCAGGGCACCTCGAGGACCTCCCTAGACTGGCGAAGTCGACGGGCTCCAGGCAGGGCTCAGAACCCGTCGCGATCGGTGGCCAGCCAGACCCTGCTGGAGGCCCTCCGTACCACCGCTGAACCTCGCGGCTGCGAAGCCGGATGGGAGTGGGGTCGTGCAAGCTGTCTGTGAAGGAGTTGTAGACTGGTAGCGGCTGGCGCTCGACCTTCCTGCAACCTGGGCAGATGTGCGGCCGGCAGTGAGGGCACGCCAACGACGCAGCGACTGAAGACACAGTCCTCATCACGGCTGTCGCGAAGGCTCAAGATGGAGGCGGGCACCGGGCAGCGGGCAGCACATTCGGATGCGTGGACCCTTTCTGAGCGTCTCAGGCCCAGGCCCAGCGAACTCCGTTGCCGAGCCGCCTTGCTTCGAGCTTCTTCTTTGGAGCCCTGGCTCGAGCCGTCGCAGTGCGATGTGAAACGAAGCTTCCGGAGCCAAGGAGCTTGTACCACCGCCACAAGCCCCAAACCACCGAGCACCTCGGATGACAGCCCTAGCCCTGTGCTTCGCTTGTTTCCGGCTGTGTCTGGGGCTACGATAGGCTACAGGTAATCATATGGGTGGTTGTCAAAATCATGGTCCCTTTTTGGGTACCCTAACTATTAGGTGCCGTACCATGGGACCCAAAAAGGGACCATAATTTTGACAAGTACCCATATGCACAAGAGCCAGCGTTCACAGGCAATCCCAACGACGTCTTCACCGAGACTGGTAGGTTCACAGTGACACCATTTGTGGGATTGAAGCACTCAGGCTGCAGAAAGATGTGGGTGGCGCGCAGTGAATTTGCTTGTGACTCTTCGTAGGAACACTTGGAGTCATATCACGTCTTTGGCCTTCCAGTACAGCCTTGAAGAGCTGCGAGGCGCCCGCTCCTTTCCCGGGCGTGCGTGCCCAAGCTGGGTCTCCCTTCTGGTGGCCGAGCGCCGGCATCATGGCCGCAGAGTTTCTTCTTGAAGGCCCGGCGGGCCGCTGCCTGAAGTGTCCACTCCCAGGTGCAGACCGGCGATGATCTCGCGAAGAACCTTGGGGAATCCTGCTTACTGGCTGACCTCGGTCCGCTTTTACGAATGAAGCAGGTGCCTGGCTAGCGCGGGGATTCTGGAAGGCCTGCTACTGCTCCTGCTGCCGCTGCCATTGCTGCTGATACTTGTAGGAGCGATGTTCAATATCGCCTTAATCATCCTGCTTCGGTACGCTTAGCAACACATCCTTTAAGGTGTGTAGATGAGCATAAGCCGGGGCATTTTCACACCATCCAGCAATCGCATGAGTATCACCGTGGTCTTTTCAGTGCATGCAGATACGAGTTGTACTGTTCGTCTACGGCCTTTATGTTTCTTTTGCTATTCTTTGGTTTATCCATCGTTTTCCACATGCAACTAATCAGCACGTTTGCCGCCGCTGTCATCAGTCATGGCTAATTTGCTTAAAACTCTTGCCGGGAACACTACTAGTACCATATCCTCACTGGGAAACAAATCGCGCTCACATTGCTTTCTGATGGGTACGGCGGTGGCAACGTGGCAAGCGCGTGCATCAAGATTGTCATGATGTGTGGTCACCATCGCCACCATCTTGTATGCTAATTCTGGTTGCACGGTTTGCTATTTGGGCGATGGTCGGCATTCTTATGATTGCCGGACTTGCTGTCTCGCGCATATTATATCTGCTAGCATGTTTATCCATGTTCAGGGTATCATGATACCCAGTATGATTCCCAGGAACCTCATATCTCAAGTTGAGAACAAGAAAATTACGTGATAGAACGAGAGCAAGTCAACACGAACCAGAAAAAGGAACACATCGACTGGACAGGACAAGTTGGATAGGTTGAATACAGCAGTGCGTTCGGTGTACTAGTCCGGTTGCTCATGCTGCGTTGGCTGGCCCCTGACTTGTGTCGCCACATGTGGATTTGTGGATCGAGGTTCATGTCCGGAACAGGGCGACTTTTCCGTCAACCTTTGCGCGACAGGAGAAGGCTGTCCAGGATGCCGTTGCCGCTCGAAGTGGCAGTGACCCGCTTAGCCTGGCAGCGAGTCAATGGGCTGGTAGGACTATTTCACACTTCACCAGCTGATGGAAAAGCAAGTGAAGCAGTGTAGTTGCCGGCCTGGCTTTTTGGCTTGGTGGCTGGCTTCGCAGAAACCTGCTCAGGTAGCAATGCCAGCATTGCGAGTGGGTCGGACGCGCAGCAGACGAGCACTGCGTATGCGAATCGAATCGGTTCGCAGGAATCGCCAATTGGGTGTGCAGTTGCAGCAGGCGACACACAGTGAAACCCGAAGGAAACCTTGGAACAGTTTGCGCTCGAGACTCTCAACAAGTTGTTTCATGTATCCGTGGCAAGGAGAGTTTGCCCTCACTGTGCACTCCCACACCTCGTGACTCACAGGCCGTGTTACAGAGTTGGGCCATGTGTCTGGAATTCTGGCACTGCTTGGAGGATACCGAACTGTATCGAAGCGCTGTGCTGCGCAAGTGCAATTCATACTGGCGACCTGATTCAGGTCACGTCGAGGCGGCAGATGCCGTATCGGTGCATCCGACTGAACATCTGCCTCGTGCTGGAGCGCGTCTGCAACAGCATTCCTCCTGGGGGTGCGATCATGTTCGAGGCCACAAGCGTCCTGCGTTTTTGCCGACGACTGTGATAACCCGTTACAGGTCCCTGTGAGCCAGATCTACGAGATGTTGCACACATCTTGTTCCAGATCAGGCAGGGCTCGCTGGTGAAACAGTCACACACAGATCCCTGAACCGCAAGAGCAACGGAGCGATAGGCTCAATGAGAGGGGCAGAGAAGACCGTGCAGGAGCGTGTTCCTTCGACCTGGGCAAGCGCAACGAAGTCAGTGAGGCAGAAGAGGTAACTTGGCCTCAGGCCCGCACACCTGACATGCCCAGCCCAGTTCATCACATCTTCGAAAAAAATCATGGGCGTGCGGCACATCTCATGTTGTCGCGGCAGACCTCGCGGATTCTCGGTTGCCTTGCGCCACGCCGCGCCTCGGCGCTGCGACGGCTGGCGCAACGTCTCTGGCGCTGTGCCGGCCGGAGCCTTTGGGGGACCGGAGAGGATGGGTTAGTTGGTCGTCCATGGCACACTAAGGTTTTGGGGTTTGGGCTTCGAAGATTCGAGATGTGATGGAAAATCCTTCCTGGCCTGTCAAGGCATTCAGCGCTGTGTCTGTGGAGCTGACAGCGGCCGTGCTGACGACCCTTGCAGTCCTTGTATCTTGCTTTTGTTAAGCTGGACACACTCTGCTGGCCGAAGGCAGTTCCTTTGGCAGCTGCAGAAATGTGGAATGGCATACGCTGTTGTCGTACTGTGTAAGTTATGGTTGCATGCTCCGCAGACAGTCGAGTCTCAAGGCACTTGCTTGGATGATGCCACTGCTGCATGCTTGTGGCGGCTGCTGGCAGAGCATGCGCGACAGGTGGATCCCCTCAAAGTCGAAACGGGAGACGGATGGCAGAAAGCATAAAGGGGGGGAGAGGAGGGGCATGGAGCTTGTGGCTTGGTGTAGTCATGAAGCTGTCACCTCTTAAAGAGTGTAAGGCATTTGGTGATTCCCATTACAGCTGATTTTTGTACCTGTGGCGACTTCCCCGAATTTACCAGACTATTTTGTGCAGCTTGTGCAAGTGCCGACATAAAGTGGTGGTCTGCGCACCATGTTAGCGTGTCAAGCAGGAAGATTGGCTCGCCATCATCTCATGATTGCACGGAGGGGGCGAGAGAGCGAGAGAGAGAGAGCGAGATACGCATCGGGTGGGCAAGATGCCGGGGGACCGTGACAGGTCCTCATGCCCGAGAGAGAGAGAGAGAGAGAGAGAGAGAGAGAGAGAGAGAGAGAGAGAGAGAGAGAGAGGGAGAGGGAGAGGGAGAGCGAGAGAGAGAGAGAGAGCGAAGCGAAAGAGACAGAGCGAGAGAGAGAGAGAGAGAGAGCGAGAGAGAGAAAGAGAGAGATAAACCTACAAGGAAAATGCAGGAATAATAAAGATATATTATGTGCCGACAGAAGAGGGAACTACCTCTTTTGCGTCTGGGAAGGTGGAGTTGGCGTTGGCCCAAAGATCCAAGCACGTGTGGACGCCTCAGTTCCTACAACTTGTCAGGTTCTGGTGCTTCAGCTTTTGCGGGCGTTTTAAGAAAGATGTTTAAAGACTGACTGATGCGAGTGAGCCTAAAGCGGTGCGGAGGGCCAGAGTTTTCTCCTGCTTCGCTGGAGGCCTTGCCCTCACTTTCACGGAGAGCTGGTGGCATGGCTGTGAACATGCTGGGGCTGGTGTTATTGTTGAAAGGGCCTTGAAGCTCCGCGTAGGAGAGGCCGATTGCACGATTGAGCTGAAAGCTCCTCAGGTAAAGCCTCGGAAGCGATGTCATTCCCTCGCGAATTCAAAATCCCAAAGCCGCTCCTTCCAAAGTTTCGTAGCGCCTCACTCAACCCATTGATACAGCATGCAGAAGCAAATGCCAGAGTAGGGCAGATCGGTGTGCAGACAGAACGCATTGCACATGCACACATTGGAGGTCAGTGCAGATGTAGATAGGCGTTCTTTCTCCAAACCTCGACCTTGCCAGCTGCTGCAACTTGAGGACACCACGGCCGAAGCTGAAGCTGCAGACAGAGAAGGCAGTTTTGTTAGATGCTGTGAACAGAGAAGATTCAATCAGCCATGAGAAGTGCCGAGCGAAATTGCCAGAAGACTACCTCACAGCGAAGAAGTGAATGCCTTGCTTCCTGTGAATCTCCTAGAAGCTGGAGGATACCACAATTCGCTGGCTGAGTTGATGTCAGAATGATCTGTGGATATAGGCTGCACCTTCGAATCTTCTTCAGACCCTTGGAGAGAGTTTTGTCACCAACAGCGAAGCGATGGGGTCTTCAGCCCTTGGGTTTTGGAGCGGGTTTCGGAGCGGGAGCCGGAGCAGGTTCCGGAGCGGGTTCCGAGCAGGTTCCGGAGCCGGTTTCGGAGCGGGTTGAGGAGAAGGTTCCGGAGCAGGTTTCGGAGCAGGTTCCGGAGCCGGTTTCGGAGCGGGTTGAGGAGAAGGTTCCGGAGCAGGTTTCGGAGCAGGTTCCGGAGCCGGTTTCGGAGCGGGTTGAGGAGAAGGTTCCGGAGCAGGTTTCGGAGCAGGTTCCGGAGCCGGTTTCGGAGCGGGTTGAGGAGAGGGTTCCGGAGCAGGTTTCGGAGCAGGTTCCGGAGCCGGTTTCGGAGCGGGTTAGGTTTCGGAGTAGGTTTCGGAGCGGGTTCCGGAGTTCCGGAGCGGCGAGTGGGTTGGTAGCGGTTCCGGCACGGGTTTTGGGGCGGTTCCCGCGATTTTCGCAGCGGTTCCGGAGCGGTGGTTTCGGGGTATTCGAGACGTTTCATGTGGTTTCGTGTGGCCAGCTTGGTACTAAAAGATGTTTCATGCGGTTGCGTGTGGCCAGCCTATAGTACTCGAGATGTTTTTAAAATGTGATTTGGTATGGCCAGCGTGGTACTTGAGATGTTTCACAGCGCGGTGCTCGAGATGGCCTCGAATCGTCAGCTTGGCACTCGAGATGAAGCATTTTCTTCGTGTGGCCAGGGCGAGACTCGACATGTTTCATGTGGTTTAGTGTGGCCAGCGTGGTAATGTTTCATGTTGTCTTGTTATGGTCAGCGTGGTACTCGAGATGTTTCATGTGGTTTCGCGTGGCCAACGTAGTACTCGAGATGTTTTATGCGGTTTCGTGTGGCCAGCATGGTACTGGAGATGTTTCACGTGGCTTCCTGTGGCCAGTGTGGTGCTCGAGATGTTTCGTGTAGTTTGCTGTGGCCGGTGTGGTGGTCGAGACATGAGGTTTCGTGTCGCCAGCGTGGTAGTGGAGATGTTTCATGTGGTTTCACGTAGCCAGCTTGGTGTTCGAGATGTTTCATGCGGCTTCCGGTGGCCAGGGTGGTACTCGAGTTGTTTCATTTGGTTCGTGTGGCCAAGGTGGCACTCGACATATTTCATGTGGTTCCGTGTGGCCAGCGTGGAAGTGGTTTCGTGTGGCCAGTGTGGTACCCGAGGGGTTTCATGTGGTTTCGTGGGGCCAGCATGGTCCTCGAGATGCTTCATGTGGTTTCGTTTTGCCGGCGTGGTTCACGAGATGTTTCACGTGGTTTCGTGTGGCAAGTGCGGTACTCGAGAAGTTTCATGTGGTTTTTTTCAGCCAGCGTAGTACTCGAGATTTTTTATGTGGTTTCGTGTGACCAGCGTGGGTTTCCTCGCGCAGAACCCCGCACTCGGGTACTGCACACCAACCTGGGTGGACGAAGAGAAAGAATTTCGCTGCGTCAATGTCTTTAGGACGCCCTGCTGGCTGCTCGTGCGAAGGACCTTCAAGTCAGCTTCGAAGTTTTTCCGCATCAGGCTCTGCATTCCGGAGCGGGGGTTCCGTTCTGCAGTGTGGTTCCGGAGCGGTTCCGGAGTGGGTCCTGGAACGGTTCGGAAGGTTCCGGAGCGGTTCCGGAGCGGGTTCTGGAGCACGTTCCGGAGCAGGATCTGGAGCGGGTTTCCGGAGCGGGTTCCCCGCTCGCTCCGACCAAAACCATTGTGCCAAGCCTCGCAAGATGCATGGTCACCAAAGACTATGGCATACAATGTCTTATGTTTTACGCAGTCTTAGCACAAGGTTTGTTACGGTGATATCATAACATCCATTTGCCATCAGCTGTTGGGGCTTCAGTGGGCTTATTCTTGTTTTGCGGAAGCGTCCTGCTGTGAGGCGCCTCTTGCGATGCACAGGAGGCGGTGTGGAAACTTGTTGCGGCGAAGATGCTTGACAAGAGCAAGAGCAAGACCACCTGAGCAAAGGACTATCACTGCTCTGCGCAGAAGTTCCTGCACAGGTTTGGAGCTTGGCGTGACTGTGATCAGTTGCAGGGCTTTGACATTCACAGAGGGTGCATGGCTTTCTGCAAGCATTGGAGCCCAAGCATGTGGCAATTCACAAGCGCCTGGTATCGTCGCAGGCCCCATTCAAAACCTGAGCTGTTTGTCCGGTCAACAAGCATCAACGTTTAATAATGCTTCTCCAAGGCTGCGCTCGGACAGCTTCTTGTCCTTCCTCGCAGCCTCGCTCCGACAGCTGCTTTGGAAGCTGAAGGCAAAGTCATTATTCTCGCACCGGCAGTATTCCTACAATGATTTCTTTCACACGAGTATGTTACTCCCAAGGCTCAGCATTTCGGCAGTTCTCTGCGCCTTTCAGTTTCGGAGGCCAATCTGAAAGCCGGCACTGCTGGCCCTGAGGTGACGAGGACATGTGGGAAGACTCGGTTTTGACCGTTGGGGGGATCCTTGCTGTGCTCGGAGCAAGATTTTTGAGTCAGGCTCCCAAGTATGCAAGGGATGGCAAGGGTCGTGTCCGAAGCTGGGCCTTGCAGGTTTTTGACATCTTCTGACCACCGTCCGCATTCTTGCACCGTAAGGAAGGGACTCTGGGCAGGCGTCGGATGTGGGTGCAACTTTCATCTCTGGACATCCAAACACACCGAGCCCCACCGGGCCCGGAGCTAAGAGCCTTGCACCTGGCAGGAACTTTCAACTTCAGTTGGCGCGGTCCTTGCAATTGGCTGCACAGTACTTGCGCAGTGTGCCGGGCAGGCTGGGGTGCTTTCGTGTCGGTGCGCAGATGGACAGACGGACTCTTGACCTCTCGAGCCTCTCCTTCTCTTTTGTCTTTGCCTTCCCGGTTTTGGAAAGGCTGCTGCCGCACTTGGCGGCCCAGGTCCTCGCAGCGCCGCTGGTGGCACTCAAGGTGTCCGCGGAAAAGCCAAAGTTGAGAAGCGAGAGAGAGAGAGAGAGAGAGAGGGAGAGGAGAAAGCGAACACTAAACGACAGGGCCATTTAGCATCTTCCGCCTGGGGACCACTGGCTGCAGCACCGCGAGGCCCCTTCGGGGGGAAATTCAAGCTTCGGATGTACATGATGTTTCTGTTTGGTTTGCGTTTCCTCAGTCGTTTCTTACAGTTTGTATAGTGTGTGGCAGTGTCTCGCCATCGCAGTATTTCAGCATTTGCACGATGGTGTCATTTTGAGTTTAGCAGGGCCGAGACGTTGGCTTCAGTGATTGGATTTCGAGATCCGCGCATCTCGGCATTTGGCTCTGGCAACGCTCTAGACTGCAGTGCAAAATTTTCGGGAGAGGTTTTTCGGACCCTCGGATTTGCAAAACCACGCAAACGAGATGAACTTGTAGCATAAGCCAAACGCTTGGAGCCAAGATGTCACAACCTGTGTCGCATACGCTGCGAGCCAGGAGATGGCCAGACCTGTGCCTTGCGCCTCTGGGCTTCTTACCTGGAGCTGCCCGGTTGCACGAGGTTTTTTGACTGCATCGTGCGAGGCTTCTATCCTTCATTAGGACTTTCAGCTCTCGCTGTAGTCTGCTCTCGACCTCGCCTTCACCGGGTGAGTGTCCGGAAAGGGCAGACAGACTCCAGCAAATTCCTGACGGCATCGGCCATGAACGCGTGCTCGCCAGCGAGGTAGACTTCATGGCCTCTCGTCAATAATGCGCAGCCCATCAAAGATCTCAGCGGTCAGGAAGCTTGCTTGCTGCGACTGCTCCCAGTCCATGGCCACGTGGCGCAAGAACTGCGCGTAGCTGGCTACAGAGTGTCCCAGTCTTATCTCATCTCCGGCCCGGGATGCACCTAAGCTGTGTGCAGCAGGTTCTGGGTCCTTTTATGTTCTTCCTTCGTGTTGCTGGTCTCGTACATGCTGTCTCAAAGAGCTCATTTAAGCTTTCTGGTGTTCGGATGGCAGCCAGAAAAGCCTCAGAATCCTCGGAGTGAGCAAGCGGAACTGTCCAGAGCAACAGCTGGCATGAGCTTGGAAACGGAAGCTTCAGGTCCCACGTCTCATGCAAGATGTCTGCTTGTGGCAATCCAAGGCTCGTTGGAGTCCTGCTCCAGGGGGCTCTGCGCTCAGGTACGCCGCTGTCTGTCCCTCCCTCCGTCCGTCCGCCGTCTGTCTGTCTGCCTGCCTGCCTTTCTGTCTGTCTGACTGTCTATGAGTTTAATCGCGTTTTTGGCGGACTCCTCTGTATTCTGAGCAGTGAGTTCGTGCGCAGTGGATTGCTCCATTTCAGCAGCTTTTCTGTTTTCTGTTGCCAGGCTGATACCTTGCTGTGTCTTGTGCTCCTTGGGGCATTGCTGTGAGCCGTCTGCAATTTTTTGCAGGTGGCGTTGGCTGCCAGCTGGGCCACCTGCTCATGGTGATGTTGCTCGACTTCCCGTGTCCACTAGGGCACCGGGCGTCTCTGCTCTTCGTCCTACATTAGATAGGAGGCAGATTCAGGCTCAACAGGTTGTTCCCCGCGAGGCCGGGTGCGGAAAGCATCCATTCTTCATTCAGCTTTTTTGGCAGACCGGCAGGTTATGCCTTGCTCGGCCACGATGTCGTGGATGACTTTGCAAGTGGAAGTTAGCATAGTTTGCTGCTTCTCATGTTCTTAACCCTCGTTGCGAGGTTCGCAGACGTGGAATGTCTAAGTAGCAAGGCAGCAAGCTTATGTACACAATGATTAGACAGCACGCTGTACACCTTTGAAAGGAGTGCTGCAGCTAGCCGTCAGAAACATGCACTTCTGCGAGCAGAGAGCGACCTCGAGATCCCAAAAGGAGTGATAGGTATTACGTAAGCGGAAGTCGCGCCCGCTGAGGGTGCCCCAGAAAATGTCAACAGTTGACAGTCACACTTGCGAAGCCGTCCGCAGAAATACCTCGCTTTAGCAGATTACGAAAAAATGGCTGCAGGCTGAGCCTGCCCTCGGCTCGAGCGTTCAAGATGCCAAGCTCACGCTCCCAAGCGGAATCTGCAGAGGCGCAGATGTGCTTGTGTGGTGCTTTGGACCTAGGAAGGGTGAATCGCAGTTGTGACTCCGATAGGCACCGAGCCAACGGCCCTCCAGCGGACTCTTCACCCTTTGCTCCGGGCCCGTGAACCAGCCAGGGTCGGTACGCAGGGCCCTCAGGGCACCCAACACATCCTAACTTCCTACATCTCTATCTGCCCTCTTAGCAATCTGGGATCCGTCCGTCCGAGGGGCAGCCGGCGCGAAGACCGCGCCGAAGGCGCTGTCAGCATTGGGGATTTCGGGTTTTGTTTCAGCCACACATTTCGAACCAGAATCACGAATCGCGACGTGTTCTTTTTTGGTCTAGGGGGCTCATGCCCAGGATGGGGAAGACAGTAAAGTTAAGAAGTTCGCCAAAAGATTCGGACTGTTCCGTTTTACAAGGAAGGGGCATGATGATTGATATGGCCAAAGTCCTGCCCGAGAGATGGCAGAGAGTTCGACCTAGAGTCTAGAGTGCTTCAAAGCGGTGTTTGCTTGGTGCTTGGAGGTCTCGAGCTTTTGGGACAGCCTCCCCAAAATCGCAGCAGCCCCGAATGCTTTGCAGTGGAGGGTTGATAGTCGGTTCCGCAGCAATCCAGAAGCACAAGCTCGCAGCCCGAGGTGGAGAGGCTCCTGCAAGAGAAAGCCGAACCCTTGAGCAAGGGGCCCGGCAAGGCATGGGCACCATCTAATCGGGGTAGAGCATAAGAAAATTCTCGAAATCCATCGATGTCAGACATGGGGTTTGCTGGAGATCAAGAGCAGAGGTAAGCAGAGGCCATGGCACGGCGAAAGAGGAGGGCGGTACTCCACGCAGGCTCAGGACCTGAAGTGTTGCTACTGGGCGAGGCCAACTTTTCTTTCGCCCTTGCCTTGTTGGCTTTGCTTTTTCCGCCGAAGCCGAACGAGTTCGAAGAGGAAGCCGAGCGGACTTACCAGGAGAGGCTGCATGTGGCCTCGGCCTACCTGCAGCTGCCACCAGAAGCATGCCGAAACTTAAGGCTCACTGCAACCTGCTACGAGAGCTATCCCGAGCTTTGACTGCAAGAAAGATTTTCGATTGCAAGTTGCTGTCACTGTCAAAGGTGGCTGACCTTGTCAGAGAACCGAGGAGCTTGTAGACAAGTACCCGGAAACAGTTGGCATTCTGTCGAGGATTCGAGCATTCGGAGAAGCAGCAGAAGTGCGATTTGCTGTGGACGCCTTGCAGCTCGAAAGCTGGCACAGGGACTGGGACGTCGTGGCTTGGAATCATCCACATCTTGGTACAGAGGATCTGAAGCTGCATGGATGCCTGTTGGCCCATTTTCTGGACGGGGCAGCCAAATCTCTGCGACCTAACGGGATCGTTGTACTCGCTCTGTTGGAGGGTCAAGAGAGGAGGTGGCAACTTCTCAAACATGCACAGGCACAAAGATTTGATCTTTCTGAGAGCTCCTTTGAACTTGCGGCTTTTCCAGGCTACGAATGCAAAAGGAACAGCACTGGAAAGTCTTTCCAAAGCTTGCATGTACAGAAAACAGCAAGAGCACCAGTGCGAAGTCGGCTGTACCATTTGCGCTGCGGCGGTGAGGCGGGCCAGGGCGGTTCCGGTATCTTCGATGCGGCGGACGCATCTTTGCCGCGCAAGCCTGTGGCTCTCGCTCTCGAATGTGCGGAGTGTGGCAAGGGTTTCGCCACTGCACAGGGCTTAAAGACGCACGTGCGTCAGGTCCACGAGCTTGGGAAATATGCAGATCGCTCTGAGTCGCTGTCGCTGAAGTGCGAGAGCTGCGGCAGAGCGTTTCGGGACTCGGAGGCGTTGACCCAGCACAGGCTGGCAGCCCACAGTGGCCGAACTCGAGATCCCAAGTCCAGAGGCAGAAGTCCCGGCTTTAGCCTTGGCTTCAGAACTTGCGAGATTTGCGGCTTGTCCATGCCTCTTGGAAGCTCCGCCGCAGCCCATCTGGAAGCTTTGAGGCCCCTCGTGGACTTGCCGCTCAGCTGTGCCTGCGGCAGATCTTTCAATGAGCGCAGAGCATTGGAGCAGCACCAGCGTTTCTGTGCAAAAGCCACGCCCACTGCAAAGCAGATCTTTACAATGACCAGAATGGTCTCCTTTCTTCTAAAGCTTTGCCCTTGCTGCGAGATCCAAGAAAAGCCTTCCAGGCAGCAGAGGCTGCATCAGACGCTTAGCAGGAATCTTGCAGCCGAACTGAAACCGTGGGCTTTTTGCGAGCTTTCTCACGAGGTTTGGAGACTCTGCAGTGCTGCACATTGTCCTTCGTGGAGGCTGGCCGAAGCCCGGCACGGCATGTGGTTTGCTTAGAGCAGTATGCGGTTTTTGTCTGCAGGCGCACAATTCATAGCAGTGTCCACGTTTTCCAGCTTGGAAGGCTCTGCTGGACTTTGCCAATGCTCTCAGCACGGAGTGCAAGGCCTGCAGTGTTAGACAGGTTCAACCGTGGCACTGGACTGGCCAAGGTATCACATGACGGCTGAAGCCATACAGGAAAATAGAAGCAAGAGCAGGTCCAAAACGGTGGTAACGGCAGGTTCGTGATGCCACCAGAAGCATAGCTCGGTCACAGAACCTCAGCATTTAGATTTTGAGGATGGGTGACTGTCTCTCTGCACTTCTTGGCTCAAGGAGGTAGATTGGCGTGCAAGAAATGGATCTTTGCCGGTCAGATCTCCAGGGCCATGTCACGTGGGACCAAGCGACCGGTCTCTGTCAGTGATGCTTTCCGAATGGAAGAAGCGACAGCCTTCGTGCCCAAGGATGCAAGGACTTCACGGACTCTGGGTTCCCATGCGGGACAGGACCCCTATCGACACGACGGGTCGATCACTACACCCGTTGCAGGGCTTCCTGGCGAGAAGGATATGGAGACTCCACCTGACTCTGTCACGCGGCGCGCCTCCTTCGACCAGAAGGTGTCCAGCGCGAAGCCGGCTTGCAGCCCAGCCAACTCCGCCGGCGAGAAGGAGAAGCGTGTGGAGAGAGCGAAGCAGGGCTTCTTTGTGTGCTGGCTGTGCAAGCGAAAGTTTGACACCTACGAGAAATTCGACTCCCACGTTCTGTACAGCAGGCTGCACCAAGAAACGATCCGACAGCTTGCAGGACTGGCGTAGGATGTGAAGGCTGGACACGTGCCGGTGTCGCCTGGGAAGCATGAGAGGCCATATGGCCCGTAGTTGAATCCCTAGTGGAGAAACAAGCAGCTGCCTCTCTGCCGCGTTGTGTTTCGGAGGAACGGACATGAATCAAAGCAGAGTTGCTTTGCCTCGACCCTGCTTAAGCCAGGAGTGTGGCAACTCCAGGCGTGGATGTTTTGTTGGAACTTGACATCGTTCTAGGGGCATGTCAAGTTGTCTCTTGGGCAGGGCAGGCGACTCTGCTGCACACTCAGCTCAGCTCATCTCAGACTTCAGACTTCTTCGGACTTCAGCAGCGTGCGTGTGAGTTCTTCTGTGCCGCTGTCGCTGAGGCGCCGGAAGCCACACGAGCGCTCGTGGGCTCCGAGGCTCGCGCTTCCTTCTGTGACGTCAAAAGGACAGGTCTTTTTATCAAGCTGGATAAGATCCTACTGTCCTGGCTAGGCGATGCTTCAGAAGTTGTTGGAGTGGCCTGGGCGTTAGACGGGTGAGTTTGTATACGTCCAAGGACTTGAAGTTAGAACACTCGTTGTTCTGGCTTTGTGTACATGTGTTGCATGTGAGGGCCGAAAGGCCGGATGTCCTGAAAGCTCGCAGCTCGCATGCTCGCCTCTTGAGGTTTCAATTTCTTTTCCTCCCGCCATCGGGTCTCATATGCAAGCTCTGCACTTGGAGCAAGACGACCTCTGGGCAGCGCTTTTCTTGTCAGGTTCAAAGCAATTGTATCTCGCACCCTGTGCTGAGCTTTGGAGATGCACCTTGAAGCCTTTAATCACACCAGACGTCCAGGTGAAATCCCATGTCCGAGGCTTGGCGGTGCCACGGTCAGTGCCAGTCTGATGCGGCGGGTGGTGCCAGAAACTCACCTTGGAAGGGCTGCCGTCAGGGCCCGCAGACAGCCTTTCTTTGCTGCTGACTTGGATATTGTGTTCGGGAGATTCAAAAGCTTTGCGTCAGGTCTTGTGAACGGGCCCTGTTCTCTGCACCGATGGTGTCTAACTCCGTCTATGCCCGGAAATACAGCGTTCTGGAGTGCCAGCCTTAGCAAAACCGGCAGAAGCGGTGTTTTTCACATTGCTTGACCTTCTTAAGGCCTGGCCACGCGTCTCTTTCCAAAGCATTTCAATGATGAAGCTGCGCTGAGCAGCCGAAGGCACTATGTTCGTCGGCACTTCCTGGCATTTGTGGCATTGCCTGGGCCCGAGACAGGTGCACAGTGTACGTGCATGCTTCCATTTGCAGTGCTTGTTCCTGTCGGGTGTGTCTTCAAGTAGTGAGGGGCATTGGGAGTGCATCGCCCACAGGGGCGCAAGCTGGTTGCTAAGCGTAAGGTTAAGATTGGTCCAACCCTGATCTGTGGCTCCATGTTCAAGAGGCCCTATCTGATCGTTGGTTGAACATCGCTCCCTGCCGGAGTTTGTATTAGAGTTCGGCTCTGACCTGCGGTGGGCACCGCCAATGAGCACGCCGATAGTACGGCTGGCAAGGTATGTGGTTAGATGCTAGGCCCGGCATAACCTTCGACTTGGGGTGACATTTTTCGTGCTGGTGATGCCCGTTGTTGGAAGGTGCTTCGTTTCCTCACCACTAGAGCCAAGCTGCTTCTCCAAGCACCACGACGCCTCAAAACCTTTGGCCCTCGGGTCGACACGGGCGCTGAATTTTTAGCTCATCTTCCTCCATCCCCAGCATAGCTGGCAGCACTTTCCTGGTGCTACCTGCTCGCGATGCGCCCCTTGTGAGCTTAAAGTCCACGACGGGAGGTCCGGGGTCGGGGGCTCGCTGTCGAACCACCATGGATTGGGTTGGCCATGGCGTTCATCCTTCGCATGAGTTGGGCTTTCGGGATCCGGTGAAGGGCTGGCAGTGTAGGTATTGCAAATTGGTCATACGATTGCATGGAGGTGAGAGCTCTTGGCAACGCTTGGCTAAGATGTGTCGTAGGTCGTAGTCCCCTAGGAAGTACAGCTTTGCTGAGTTTTCTCTCTCTTGAAAAGTCGGGTGTAGGGTGTTTGCAGCCCCAGTGCTGGCGACGTGGGAAGAGCATGAGCCGGCTGGTCTTGATTCAGTTGAAACACCAACAAGTTCTTGTGTCAATCCCGCTGCTTTGAATTTGAAGTTGGGAACAGCGCAGCTCTTTTCTGTTAGTTTCTGGCAATATCGAATATGAAATTTTCAAAAAGTTGCAAAACTAAGCTATTGAACTGTTATGATAAACCCCCCCGTTGTGGCTTGAAACGGAAGGGCGGGGTGAGGCTTTGAAGTATTTCAGCTTCGGTGGAGGTCGGAGTTAGTACATAGGTGGTGAGGGTCGGGCTTGAAATTTCAGAGGCATCCTGGGATATCGAGGCATTTTACATTTCAAGATAGACGTCCGTTTCGGCAGGACACGGGCTTACTGAGAAAGGACTCGGGGGCCCACAGACGTCGTCGCAGCACCATATCTCTGTCAGATGGTAGTACTATAAATTACTATAAATCAAAGACAATGCGCACGGAAACGTGCAAGGGGCGGGGCGGTGCCATCAGGATTCAGACGAGCTGATGCCTGTTGGCGCACCGGGGAAGCTGAGCAGCTGCCACCCACACAAAGAAAAAGAAGTGGTTCCGAGATTTGTCACGTCATGCACAGTTCTGCGGAGCCAAGCCTATCTACCTCCTCACCTCCTCCTCCGAAAACCAATGTTGCAGTTTAAGGAACCTTCCACCACCCCTAGGCTTTTTCAGTTTCATGCGGGTGGCTGAAACGGATTCAACCTTGCCGGGGGGGAGGCGGGACTTCAGACCGATGTTCATATACTTGGGTTAACTATCAGAAACGCATATTATTCAGGTCTGCGAGGTTGGAATGTACTTGGTCTTTTTGGTTGCTTGTGTAAACGAATACCATTGCATTTGCGTGCATATTGCAAATAGGCGTCTATAGGTGCGAAGTCGGTTTAGTATGTATTTTCTTGCATGTACATGTCGGTGTTTGTCGTAAACAAACATGTGCACGGTGTTTGGGCGTGTGTCTGGATGTGCGTGCGTACATGTGTATGTATGTGTAGGTGTATGCATGCATGCTGGCACGGATGCATGAACATGTGCGTCCATTCGCTGATCATGCCCGATTGTTTTTTGGATATGCGGCATGTAGTCATGTCATAACACAATACTACATGCTGGTAGCACGATGTACTATGAACTGCATCTCGCTCAGCGTACACGGTCAAATCGGCAGCATGCAATACACTGCATTCTGTGAATTCCAAACTGTGAATTCCGAAATGAGAGTAGTGCAACACCGAAATGAAAGGACGTCGTTGCTGGAAGGGAGTGGCACGAAGAGCTCAGCATTTGCAAAGCGTGCACGTACGAAAGCAACGAAGCAAGCACAGCTGCATAATCGTGCGAAAGCAGCGAGCATTCGTATGTGTGTGCTTCGGTACATCGGCATTCCATTTGCATTCACGCCCGGTAAGCCACGGTGACTAGTACATATATATATATATATATACATACATAAATATGTATGTTCGTATGAAAGTACGGAGTGTTTCTGTGCACAGGCTATACATGTGATTAAATACATGTATGCGGGAGCCTGCATTAATTGCTGTGCATACATGTAAATGTGTGCGTGTGTGCATGAACAGGTAGACACATGCTTATGGATCATATGTGCACGTAGACGTAGACGCATCGATGGTGGAACTATAGGTTTACAAACCCCAGCGTGTTGCTGTTGGTGCAAGAGCCAAAGCACGAGCTCAGCCGCGGCTGGGGGTCTTGCCACTCGCCCGATAGGGCTGCAACCTTACCTGGACCTGAAGATGAGTTGCGGAGCCAGGTATGTTCAGAGTCTTGTGACCGATTCCAGCTGCACCGGGCTGCTGCTTCCCCTTGCTGACCTTGAGGTATAACAGCCGCAGGGGAGGTCCTGTGGAGGAAGCGCAGCCGGTCCCCCATATGTCCAGGCTCAAGTTAAGTACATTACCGCAGTAACACGTCTTCAATGGCAAGCTCAGTTGAAGTGGCCTGCAGGCTGTACAGGGGACTTTTGATAGAATTGAGCGCGCGTAGCATGTTGATCACCTTCGTGTTCATGCCATTCCCGTGACAAGTCTTGTTATTATTGTTTTCAGCTTCAGCTGCACAGCACAGGCTCGAGCCGTGATGTACCGAGCATTTCTGTTTATGCGTGGTGCAGAGAAGGTGCGTTGCTGCTTGCCGCCTTCATCTGGAAACTTTGCTTCGCACCCAGCGTAATCTTGGTGGCCCTTTTGCCTAAGACCCCTTGCAAATCATGCTTATCCGTATTCAACCTATTCTCACAGGCACCATTTCCCCCACGACTTCTGTCAGCGTTGACATCGTAGAGCCAGTGTGTCGCCACCGGACCACGCCGTGAAACTGCGAAGTGTGTTTTCCTCGAGAAGGGAGAGTGCAGAGCACAATTGGAGCCCACGAACTGTGATTAATGCTGATGTTTCAGGCTGGCAATTGCTGGCTTGGATATGGATGACCACCTAACGCCGCAAGCTCAAGGGGGAGAAGGTCGTGATTCACGCGATTCGGTGGTCACCTGGTTTGGGCTTGTGTAAGCCACTGGAAGCACTAGAAACCAGGACAACCAGGGTTTTGAGTCTTTTTTTTGAAGATCTTTTCTGTTGTGAAGCTCTGGTGCTTCGTTCTCTAGGCGCCGCGTCTTCCTGCAGCTGTCCGTTCTGGACTTCTTCGTCGGCGAGGCGTTGAGAAGGAGTTCCAGGTTGACAAACGGCTACCCTGTCCGACATGCATCTTTGGGCTTGAGGGATGCCGGGCTGATTTGGTCCTCGTTAGTCGTTGATTGGGCCTCGGCAGCCTTTCGTTGTTTCTTTTGACTTCGCAGAGTATTCCAGAGCTTCGCAGCGCAGATCGAGCTGGAGCACGTCACAACCCAGATGCAGCAGAATTTTTTACGACGTCGATGGCTCAGTCAGGCAGATGTCGGACTCGAAATTTCAAGTGCCAAGAAACATTGGGTGATAGTCTGTAGGTCCGTAGATGCTTGGGGAGTATCCATGCATGCGTGCGGCGGAAGCTTGTGCGGAAGGGTTTCCCGGCGGAAGGTCTTCGCTGCCTCAGGCTATACCGTCCCGGGAACTACTGCTTTGTTAACACTTGGGCTGCTGCTGCCTCTGCAGTAAGCATTACTAGTAGTTGTACATGGAGCAGTACCGGTACTGCTGTCCCTCTTTGCGATTTGGATCTTGCTTGCCAAACCTCTACTTATTGTTTTGATTTGTATGCTTAGCCTTTTTCTTGTTTGATTTTACTCTTACTCTTACTCTTAGTCCTGCTTGGGCATAGTTACTACGCTGACGACTGGTCGTCTTACATGTCGGACCATTTTGTTCCCGAGCAGAAGCACGCATGCCCGACCATTAGGCAGAAAGTCAAATTTGTGTGTTTTGCGGAGCTCCGGGGAGGTAGGTCCCTGAAGTACGGCGCAGAAGGGCTCCAAGTAAAACTGCATCAGTGTGTGTTTACATTTTCACAGTGCGCGAAAACCATCAAACTGTGAAGCTCACGTAACACCCAAGAGTCGAGGCCACTCAGCGATTTGTGCTAGCAGTTGTGGGAGTGTTTGGTTTGATGGGACATGTAATTTGATACTCATGCATTTGAAACGTTTATCTCCGTAGCTCGTTCATGCTATAGCAGGCATTTCCAGCTGTTTTGCGGAAGCTTCACTTTTCGGCCGTGGCAGAAGCAAGTGTTGGCTGAGCGGAAGCTCTGCAGAAGGCCTTGGCTCAAAAAATGATGCTTCCTTTTCAGCTGCATAGCAATCAAAGCAGAAACTCTGCCGAAGTTCGGCCGCAGTGTTTGTGGGAGTGGATTTCGGACAGATGGAACAAAAGCAGATACACTTCACTTCAGCACGTTTCACCACTAAACTTTCAGTAAGCACAGTGGCCTTCCCAACTGCATCGGATCCTTTGAGCAGCCAGCCAGCCTGAAACCGAACAACATTATGGAGGGCCAGTCATCCAGTCATGCCCAATCACCCGTCGCACAGGTCAGAACAAGGCAGGATATGCTTGGCCAACGCCTCAGCCATCTCAGTTTGATGAGAATGGATGTTGAGAAGCATGGCTGTGCTAAGCCAGGCCTCAGGATTCTGCGGAATCGCCATCGGCGCTCACACTCAGCCCCGCAATTGCTGTTGTGCAGATTTAGTGAAGTCACCTCATTGAGGCTGGGTTGCAGAAGGCTGCATGTGCCACCTGCAAGCATTGCTGCATTCTTGTTGGGAGGGAAAGGATATGGCTGCCCGCAGGTTTCACTATTTGTCGGCTCTAAGCTAGCATGTGCTGCTGCTTTGGAAGACCCAGAGTGGAGGACCCTGGGCATGTCAAGTAACGGTATGGACGGCATACCTCCTTGCCAACTGCAGGCGCCGATTTAGGTTTTGCGGGGTGAAGGTATGACAGTGAAGTAGGGCAGCGAAACCCAAAATCTTTCCCGATCCCAGCATGAGATGGCTGCTTGGCAGGGTCTTTAAGACGAGCAGGCTGAAGCAGTTTCTCGCGAATGAGTCAACTTTCGGATGCACTGTAGCCCTGCAATTCAGGAGAAGCCATCTGGCACATAGAACAAGCTCTAAGACAACCGTCCACGAGGAGCCGCAGAAGCCCCTGCGCGAGGAGTGGTACTTTCCTGAAGGCAGATACGGAAGGGCTTCTGTCAGCAGCAACCTGTCCTTGCAGAACTCGCTTCGCTACTCCCTAGACTTGTTGTGCTTTCCTTCTCAGCATGATGTGGCAGAAGCCCGGATTCATGTCTGCATAGCTGCACATAGTTTGTTGATGCATGCCCGTTTCTATGTTACATTATGTTACATGACTGTATGTGCGTGCATACGCATGCGGGCCGACGATTGTGTGTGTGTGTGTGTGTGTGGTTGCCCAACGTACACATGGCATGTGTTTCTTCGCATTGATCTAAAGGCATTTTGCATCAAACGGGGCCTATTCGTGAACTTTTTTGTCCGTGAAAGCTTTGCTATGAAAGTCATCAAAGAATCCGCGAAGAAACCATTTGCAGCAAAAGGAGTATTGATCAAAGTGCAAACAGTTTAAATCTTCTTGCTCGCTCATTTTCGTTCACTCGGGGCGTACTATCCAGCTTCAGGTGCAGCGAGTGTGTTCTGGGCATGCACCAATTACATGTAGGTGGGCAGAAATCTATGGACATAGTATGCACTCACCAAACATGAGAGGGGTAATGGTGCGGGATAGAACCAGCAGTCAGAAAAGCTGTCCCACCCCCGTAACAAAATCAAACATGAAGGAACCATGCACTGCATGAGAGTGCTCGGCAAACAAGGGATGCCTTGTATTCCGTAGTCGACCATCAAAAGCACCGGACAACGTCCAATTCAAATTTCGGACCTGAGAAGTGCAGGATCTTCCTCATGGGCATCGGATGAGGCCATCCCTTCACAGTTACCGTACCCAGGATGTCACAACACCTTCATCGAGGTGATATCGGGGACATCAAAGCAACGGCGATAAAATCAACAACAATGCTCATTCACTTAACAGCAGCATGAAGGCCGCAGGACCTCCACACCCTTCTTGAAGCCAGCCGCAGACTCCTTTGCCGTGTAGTATGCGAGCGCGTCCTCCAAACCCTGGGTGTTATCCAGTTTCTGTTTCTGTGTGCAGGGTTTTTCTCCCACAGTTGATCGCAAGCGTTTTAGGGTTCTGTTAAGAGTAAAGCCACATCCAAATCAGTGCTCAACGTGGCCACCTTGCACAGGGTGTTCTGCGCCCCCCCATGGACACCATCACGTCGGGTGAGGGCCAGACGATTGTGCATGGTACGCATCCATCATGCACTGTAGCCGGCCGACGCACCCATATCGGGTGATGGGGCTCTACAACCTTCCGCGCTATGCGGACCGCGCCCCTTCACCTACTGCAGCTCCGAGACTTGATCTCGCTCTTGGGTAATAGCTCCTTTGCACTTGAACTTCGGAACGCTATAGTACATTTGTCCTGGGACCGGACCGTTTACTCCTCCGCTGCCTTGCTGCGAGCTCGAGACATGGCACAGACCTTTCTTGTAAGATTTCCGGTGCAACCGCACGTAAATGCCCGCCAAGTTGTTCACCACTTGACCATTGAGTCAACGATTCAACCATTCATCTATTCATTTTGCCCCGCATGATTGGAGGTTCCAAGCCCTTCGTAGGAGCTAATGACGTTGTTTGATTATTGTTGAATTTGTTAAGTGCGAATCAATGCACTAATCGATTAAGGAAACAATGGTTTGGGGTCGAACAATTATAGGAGGGAATGAGCGGATTAGTGATTGCATGTTTTAGCAGCGCCTTGGGCGATGGTGCAGAACGCTCAGAAAACTCAGAGGGATCAAACGTTTCCTCTAAGCGGACATATGTGTATATATAAATATATGTGTGTATATATCTATATGTATTTGCATGTACATACATTACATGATATTGTATTATCATATTAGAGTATATCACATTACGTTGTACTATATATTATATTATAGTACATTATAGCACAGTATAGTACAGTATACTACAGTATAGTACAGTTTTGTACACTATGCTAAAGCATAGCGCAGCACAGCATAGTATAATATAGTATAGTATAGGCTAATGTTATGCAACTTTATGTCTTATTATATCTTTATACAGTCTTTATACATACACACAACACAGCACACACAAACGTGCTGATGCATGTGCATGCAGAAAGTGCGCTCGCCCCTCCCTCGATGCGAGAAAGACGGTCTCAAGACATTCTGATCACGGTCGTTGTGTTGTGTGCCGTTGCAGTTTTTTCGGGTGGATTGCGAAGTGAACAGGTGCTGCGTGATTGTTTGTTAGTTTCTGTGTGTGTGTGCACGCGGTCTAGTTGTGATGTCTTACGACAGCCCGTGGTGCATTCCGTGCCAACCCCCATGCCCTCAGGTCAGCAGCAATTTGCGGTGACACTTTGTATGTCAGCGTTGGCAGTCATGTAGTTGCGGATGGGATCAGCCAATGTTCATGTGTCTTGCACACTAAACCTGTGATTTCCTCGCTGTGCTGTCGTTCTTATTTGTGTGTTCCATGGCACAGCCCTTGTTGCAAGCTTTTTGTTTCGATGTCTTGCGGGGTCAAAGAACAGTGACAAGAGGCGATCTCAAGGTGGTGGCAGGCAGAGCTCCATGCAGCCATTTCCTGCCTGCTATGATCATGTTTACGGCTTAGGTTCAAGGTCCACGAACGGCAGACTTCCTCGGTAAACTCTCAACCTGGTGTGACCGAGTTTTTTCTGCTGGCAGGGTGGTAAGGATTCCCAAAGCTCGCGAGAGTGCCCTTGCTCTCCATTCTTCGAGGTTCATGAGACTTAGCAACTGCTCAGATGCATTTAAAGAAGCTGGCCTATCCTTCGGTCCCTACGTCTCTCGTTCCCCGCATCTTCTGTCCTCTCTCTCCGGCCGTTTCTCTCGGCTGGTCACAACCGTCAGCAATGAAAGAGTCACGAAGAACAATGCTTCACAAGGGAAAGCAGGGGCCAGGAACAGTCAGCAACACGCATCGTGTTTGTTACCAAACCAGGCTTTTGATTTTGGTCACAGACTATATGGCATGAAATTGCCATCCCAGAAAGTGAGTTTGGTTCGACGTTCATTTGACTTGGAGCTGGGGGACACGCGGTGAACATGCGGCTGCCTTTTGCCTGGTGGTGGGAGCTTGTCGTCTAGCTCACCACAGCGTACACCTTGTAATCAATTCTGGGTCATGGTAATCGTGTTGATTGTGGTGATGGTGTTGATTGACTATGCTGGTGATGGTGATTGGGACGGCTGCGATTACGGTAAAGCGGATGCCCCTTAAAAAGGCTACCGCGTTGGACTTCTCATGATTTCTTGCCGCCGCAACATCCCGGCTCCAGTTCCAGTTCCACTAGGCAACATGCATGGACTGAATGGATGGGTCCCTGCCGACAGAGACGGGCGCACAGAAGGAGACCATCAAGTTCAGCTTTCAAGCTCCAGCGCGACGCAGCCCCACTCCGTGGGTCCGTGCGATCCATGTATATTCTTCGGAACCTCTGCTGGCTGCCGGAGGGACGCCTGTCCGTTCTGTCACGTTCATCTGTTCCGGATGGAGGTGAATCCGGAGAGGCCGGGGAAGCAGATCCGTATGAGGCTGAAGAGGACGGGGTCCAAAAGATAGGAAATATGCAAATTTACTGCAGATTTTTGAAATCACCCGAAGGAATTTGAAGACCATGTTGCAATCGAGGGAGAACTCGCCGGACAGGGTCCATGACGAGCTCCAACGCTTGGCTCATAGAAGCGGCTTTGCGCGTAACCTGATTACAGGCCCCCCGGGGGGGGGCTTGGTGAGCAATTCTCGTTCAAGGTTTGGGAAACTCTCGGAAAGGCTGGTCTGTTTTTCTTGGTTCAGGTTTCTTGGAGCGCGACGGAGAGCCGGAAAAGGAGGTTGAGGGCGGAATCACCACAACTTCTTGTTCAATAGATGGCTGCTCTGCGGCGATGTGAGATTTGAGAGTCTTGAACCTCAAGCTCTAACGGGTCATGGCCTCGCTGAGGAGTGCATGATCAGCCAGTAGTCTGTCCAAGCCTCAGAGTTTCTGGAATGTTAGCGTAGACGATGGATGCGTCTGAGCAGATGCGAATGCTTGTGCCGACTCTGTTGCATGACTCAGGCATTTTGGAAGATGGGTTTGATTTCGATGCTTTCCTGAAGGGCGAGCCTCTGTCGCTGTAGCCGCTCTAGCCAGTCTACATTGCTACAATGGTCTTCCTCGGATGCCGTATGACCAATTTGCCGTCTCAACGAAGTTCATATTCACGTCAAAACCAATCTCGTGCTCTGGACTGCTAAAGTTGCGGAGTGTCGGCAATGTTGGGTGCGACATCCAACTCTAGGGGAAACCCAGAAGCTGAGCGACTCGAATGGACACAGCCTCCGTACGTTTCAGATCGCCGGAGGTTGTCACCAATCCAGTCTCACAAATGTCTCGAATGTTACTTGTGTGCCTGCGTTTTGCAGAAAGGTCCACATTGGGAACGTACGCGCATCATGAGTGAGTGCAGACTCACTTATGTCGTGAAACCCCAAACTGTGACCTGCTGGCAATGCAAGTGTAGCTGCACTCAGTAGGTTTTAAAGCTCGAAACACATCCAGAAGCTTTAATTTGCCAGCTGCGCTGCCGAATGTGATGTATACACACAGAGAGCGGCAGACCCGCAGGCACTTCAAGTCCAGCTTGCTCCGGTCACGCTAAATGCCGATTGCAGCTGGAACTTTTTGTGAACGAATCTTTGAGAATCGGCCTTTCGTAGGGTGTGATGTTGATCTCTGTCGGATTGTAAACTACATTTGCCGGTTACTTCGTCTTGATCTGGCGGACTTTCCCGAGATAGGAGCAGCGAACGTTCTGTGAATGTTTCGATGTTGGACAGAGCCGAGTTTGTTCATTCGTGGTTTGTTTTGTGCACAGATAATGTGCTCGCAGTCTGTCAGTCGGACACACACCAAACGGTCTGCAACAGCATATGTTGCATCAGGAATCCGTAGTACACCAGCGATTGGCTCGATGATCCTACTGGAAGGGGATTAGCCCTCCTGCCTCATGGTGCAAGGTACGGATTGACGGTACACTGCCTTCTTGCAGAAACGAGCCACTCGCGAAGAGAGAGGAACAGCTCTCTTGAAGCTTATTGTTCTTGGCTTTGGCCGGTTCTTGCTAGCTGGCTCGCGGACGAGGTTCTGCTTTGTGATTCGACTGGGGTCCGACTGCAGGTTGGAGGCATGTTGTTGTTCTGTTGGGACGACTGCCAGTGAGCTTTAATACGAAGTAGCGTTTCACCTACGCCAACAATCAAAAAAAGAGAGGCTTCGCGGTCACCGCTTGGAGAAATCCTGCTGCATCGATTGCAAAACCGCTAGCAATTCAGTTGTATCTGAGCCTCCGGGTTGCTTACCCTCTAGCCGTCTTGTGAAACTCCCGCTTTGTGCAACAGCTGTCCGCTTGGCCTTGGCGAGGTTCCCCCGGTTCGAGCGTCCCAGCAAGAGGCCGCTCGGTCACCTCGCGGGGCTCCCACTTCGGGGTTCAGTTGAGCCGATCTTGGCCCAAAACAAGCACAGACATGAGGCCGCCCAGTGCTTGCGCTCACCAGCGCAAGGCAGGCAGAAGAGGAGTGGCTTTGAAGGTGTGAAGATGTTGCGTTCATTTCCACTCCAGGCACCTGAAGTGGAAAAGGCCGAGCTGCTGTTCCGGTTGTCGCGGGAGTACCGCAGGCTTGCCTCGGCTGACCGTCCTGAGAGAAGAGAACGTGGAAGCAGAAGTTTTTTGTGTCTCGCCAGATTGGGCGAGAAGATGCCGAAGGGCCTGAAGATTGCCTCGGTGCCCACGCTGTCTGCGCACCTCGATATGTTGCTGAGGCTTTAGCAGAGCAGGGACCACTGGGCCAGGCCGCGCCATGGCTTCCTTCGTATTTTCCCATATCTTCCCACTTTCGGGTTTTTGGGCTCTTGCAGTGAAAGACCCCCACGCTTCTCGTGCTGGGCTCAACGCCCCACATCTCGGTGTGCAATACATATCGGATTGGCTTGGTTGTGGTGCACAAGTACCAGGCGACGAAGTGTACAGCATGCAGAGGACTGACTCTGTGCATCAGCTGCATTTAGCTCGAGCTGTGGCTTCAAGCTTGCGCACGGCGGTGACTTTGGCAGCAACGTGACATACATTTCACGCTGCTGCACATCGCCTTTTGCCTTTGTAAAGACCAGGCAATCAGTGCGAGCCTTAGGTCCACACCTCAAGACAGCTGTGGTAGAAAAAGGTCCAGAGATGCCGCACCGTGGGGTCGGTACCGTAGTATCCGCCAGGCCTGCCGAGCAATACTCAGAGGCTTGGGTCCCCAAACCAATCAAAGCGCAAAGGTGCCTTCGCAACCATCCGAGATGCCTGCAGCGCATGCAGCGCAGGCCGTGCGACACGCAACGCTGGGGGGCCAACTTGGCTCTATTCTAACCCTTGGAGTTTCCGCGTAGCAAAGAGACATGCGAGTCTTGAAAGGTCTGGGGTGTAAAGACACAGCCGGAGCAAAGCCGAAGTGGGATCATGTTTCAGGGTCTAGTCGGAGGGTGGGCCCGTGTCCAGGTGAAAAGCACGCAAGTTCCGGTCCCTCGGAACGCTAGGCCTCGGCTCGTTGCGCCGCGGGGTCCTCAGAGGTTTTGCTGAACTTCGCCCTGTGAAAATCCACATGGTAATTCAACGATCAGGCTGATGTTGGCGGGGCTGCCGGCCTCGATGCAAGGCACGGACACAGAAAGTTGAGGAGGCGTTGGCTTAGTAAACAAGGCTTTGGGTCTGAAGAGGCGGAGTTTGCTCAGAGTAACGGCAAAGTTGCTGATGTTCAACCTGGCAAGCTGATGTATGCAGAGCGGTTCGTGAACGTTCCGACTGCTTTCGCCTTTGTGGTCCGGGATCCGGGTTGCGTCAGAGTCCGAAGCGGTCATGAGCGGTTTCTAGGTCGTGTGGTTTTCGCCGTCGTCTCAAGCGGCATCAACCTGCTGCGCTGGTTGATGCCGGTTTCTCCATTGCATGCTTCATGGTGTAAACTTAAACGTGAGGGAGCAACATCTGTAAACGAAAGATCTTCTGCGAGACAAGATGCCATAGAGAACCCCATTGCCGATGGGGCCAAGCCCCGGCAACCACACTCGCTGCAAGCACCAAGTGAACAGGTGTACGTGCATTCCGGTGTTATGACTTTCCGTCAGTCCGCTGACATGATGAAAACGTAGCAGGGGTTCCTAAAACTTGACGGCGCCATGCGCCGAAAAGCTGACGTGACTGCCGCAGAGGTTCATGACTTTCCGGCCTATTGCTGTCGACGAGTCACAGTAGCGGCCTAGGTATTTCTCAGCTGTGACTGAGACAGTGGAGATGAGCATGTCATAAGTCACAAGGCCTGACTGTACATCCTTTCGATACCCTTGCAACGTAATCTTGGTGCAGCTGCCTACGCAGCCTAGGGTTGGTACCGCAGGAGTTCTTTGTTTGTCAAGCCCTGGAGTGCCAAGTGTTCGAATCATGACGAAGCACTTCAGTCGCCCGCGAACTTTGTCTTCATCCGCTATGTCCCAGAGATCTGACTGAGAAGGTGCGCTCCTTCGTTGCGCTTCCTCTCAGCCAGGACTGCGGCTGCAAGCGCAGGCCCAGAGCGACGTAACTTGCATAACCTGGGATTGCAGTGCAGACAGTGCAGGCAGCCTCGGTCAAAGTTTCCAAGCCCAAAGCCAGCAGACAGCAGTGAGATGCATCAGCGAAAGCTTTGCCGTGGGCCCCAGGTCCTGGCCGACTCGGCGGCGGCGCGGGCGGCGGCTGCGGCGGCGGCTGCGTTGTACCCGGTTTTCGAGGGCTCCCTCTTAAGAAAGATAGCCTCCATGCTTTCGAGCGCTCGGACTGCAGGTCGCGAATCCGGGGGCCAGATGGGTACCCACGGTTTGGCAGCAAAGTGCACGACCTCCTCACGAAGGTGACACGGCGACATCAGTGGTTTTTGAGCCCCAAAGGCCCCAAAGCTCGAGCCTAAGGAGGCCGCCTTGGATGTGCCGGCGCTGCAAGCGGAGATTTCGGAGAAAGCTCAGGAGGCACGGGCCGAAGTGGAAGCAAAGGAGGGTTTCTTTCTTTCTCATGCTGTACTCCGCTATGCTTCGTTGCTCGGTCCGGTGGCCAAGGTCCCAAAGTTGTAGGCTCCCTTGTGCAACAAACGACATGGCATGTCGAAGGCGTGGATCAGGTTTGCTGCTTCTTGTCGTGCTGGTGATGCTGGTGTTGGACTCTGGCAACAGGTTCTGCAACCACCTGCGGTTTCGTTGTGCACTCCGATTGGGTCCAGTGCAGCGGGCCGCCACCTCTCTCTCTCTGCAAGATGCCATCGGCTCGCTGCCGAACGGGTGCGTACTGGAACTGCCACCAGGCCAGTACTGCAACACGCAGCCGATCGTGATCAACAGGAACATTACCCTTCTGGGGTCCAACAGCCACAGGACCCAGTTGTCTGGCAGCTTCATCTTCGAGGTGGGGGCCGAGAACGCCGTACTTCAAGACGTGGATATTGTCAACCAGGACCGCTTTGTTGCGGTCCACCTGCGCTGCAAGGGCCGCCCAACGGTGCAAGGCAGGAGATTTTGTTTTGAAAGACTTGCACCAGAAATCACGAGAGAGTTGCGGGGAGCACTTCGGGAAGGCTGCCACATTGAGAGCCGCGGCATCGGCATCTTAGCTGATCCTCCCCTTGATGCTGACAGCAACCCTCACGTGCTCGACTGTCGGATTGGCCCCGCTTGGCAGGGCTTGGTCATTGCCGGGCGGTGTCAGGGAATTTTCGAAGCCTGCGTGATCAGTGACTGCCGATCTGCAGGCATAAGGCCGCTTGGTCAGGAAGTTGTCTTTTTTGCAGGTTGTTTTCAAATACTCACATGAAAGACTGCAGGCTGCGAAATGACGCCCAGCCTGTGCTCCGGTCAAACTTGGTACTAGTAATTGGCTGCAGAGGTCCAGGTCTATTAATTTGGAACCGAGCATCCCCTTCCATGGAGGAGAACACTTTCGTCCACAATTCAATCGACCCTGACAGCCCCGCTGGAAACATGACTGGACTTGGTTGATGTGGACGAGCAGCAGTTGCCGAAGCTCAAACCACAGCTGCAACATCAATTCGGTCAATGACACTGCGGTGGTGCGCTTGAGGCATCAATTCAAATTCAGAACCTGGCACAAGCTGTGCGTTGACCGACGAGGCATACCTAAGTGGATACCCTCTCGTCAAAGCGTACCATCCACCGCATTCCTGCATAAATGCTACTGAATCGTAGGGACGTGCGGGATGCTTGACTTACCTAGTACTCTGCTCAGCTCGAGGTGACAAAGAGACAGAGCCCAGCTGAGTAAAAAGCAATTGCACGAGCCAATCTCCTGTTTCATTCTGCTCAGAAAGTCTGTAAGGTCTTGGGCCCTACTGTAGGTCTTGCACAAGTGCACTCACTGGGTTGTCGTTTTGTCCAATTCACAAATTTGATTGCGAAGTCGGCAAAGACAGGCTATTGCCTTCACCTGCCGGGATGGTTGTTTTTTTCTTCGGATAGTTGCGACTTGATGTGACGGGAGGGTAGGGGCGGGGAGGCTACAGTTGTACCGTTGCTGTAGGAATTCCATGATCGTTCATGCTGCAAACGAGCGTGATTCCCGCAGCTTTTAGAGGTTCATGAGTCGCCCCTTAGCGGTAGGCGCTGGAGCAGGGTCACTAAGCTCTCTATTGCTTACTCTGCTTAGCCAGCAGCTCTACTCTGCTCCTGTGTACGAGCAGCCGGGGCTCGTTGGTCAGCCGGTACACTTCGAAAACTCCACCGAGCTTCCTCCTGCTTTCTGGGTGGGCTTATTGGCCGGAGTTCTCATCGGGATCCTTATCTCTTCTTTGTTGGATTTGCTGTATTTGTTCAAGCAGTACTTATCCATTGAGCTTCGGAACCGGCTGGCTACTCTGAGTCTAAAAGGCGGAAATCGTGCATGAGCTCTTCTGAGCTCCGTGATCTCCGCAACTTGGAGGCTGCCTTCGCTCGGCTGACCATCAGGCTGGAGGCCGCTGAAGACCGGATTGCAGAGCTTGAACGCTTGCAGGGGCAAGGGCGCGATAGTCGTGCTGCTAGCCTTTCAGAATATTCGGTTGTCACTACCACCCCCCCTCGAGCTCTGCCAGGAAGCTCCCGCCACGCGAATCCTCCCGCTCAGGAGTACCCATCGCAGGCTTCGGCCCAGAGTGAGGCTGGACCTAGGTCCCGTCTCTCGGACAGGGAACGCCAGGAGCTCGCTGATAGCATCGGTGACTGGCTTCGTCGAGAGCTTGACGGCAGAGGAGGAGGTGTATCAGGACGAGATCGCTTGAATCTCCGCTCCAGGCTGTACGTGCTCGCTCAGGACTTCAGTGGCAACCGCTACGACCCGGTGCGAGTGTACTCTCGCCTCAGCGACCTGCGGGCGAACTTTGGTCCGGGCCAGAACTCGGGGACAGCGATCTTCATTGGATTCGCCTCCAGCTGGGAGGCTCGGCGGGCGGTAGCCAGGGCCAACCTTGGTTGGCCGGATGCCGGAATCTGAGGAGGCGGCCGCCGAGGCGGACGCAGAGGTTGAGGCCGAGGAGGCAGAGGAGCCGGAGGCCGAGGACATTCGGGACCACCTCATCGTTATAAGCGGCGAGGTGGATTTTGAGTATCCCCTGGGTGTCATCTCCGTTGGCTCGGGACCGGCACGAAAGCTCGTGGCGGCAGCGGCGATTGGCGAGAGCTCGGACGGCTCCGTGATCGTTGCATTCCCGGGGAAGTGTTGGAATCGGACTCCAGCAAAGCGCGCCCTTGGTCTCGACTTCGTTAGGAAGGTGACAGCCGCTCGCGTCCGCTGCGCGGGCGCCGAGGACCGCTCCAGATCTCTTGATTCCGAGCTTCGGGTTTGCCTTGGCTTGTTGACTGCTGAGGGCGAGGCGGCTTTTGACTTCGTGCGCGACTTCGAGGGTGAGGTCCAGATCGACTACAGCTTCGGTACCAGCGAGCAGCCCGAGCTTCTCCCCCACGCGGGTTCTCTTGCAGAGTTGGCAAAGGTGACCTTCGAGTTCGTCACGGCGGAGAGTGCTGCTCAGGAGGCAGCCCCTTCCCTAGCTCCTGCTGCGATTGAAGACCGCTTGGGCCGATTGGAGGGATGCTTCCAGAGCATCCAGGACGATCTCAAGAAGCTTGTGGCCGGCCAAAAGACCGAGGCTTCCCTCCCTCTCCGGGAGAAGGCAAAGCCTGTTGCTCGAGCCCCTCCTCCAAAAGCCTCCGGTCCAAAGTTCGAGGGACTAGACCCCCAAGTCGTGAAAGCAGCACTGGACTCAGGTATCGACTCGAAGCACATCGAGGAGATGGGACGCTTCCTCCGGAGCCAAGGAAAGGGCATGACCGACGAGCCTCGGCCAAACATTCGGGCGAAGCTGGCTCGCCAAACCTTGGAGGCCGAGGACGACCTGGACGACGAGGACCCCGAGGACGAGGATCAACCAGAGGAGGTGGAAGTGAAGGACCCGATCCACGCCGCGGTCACAAAGCTCACGGCTATCGCTGCTCAACTGGCGGAGGGCAAAAAGAAGGAAACCACACTGGAGGCTCTGCTCGACGGGTCTGGATCGGGCGAGCAAGCCAGCTCCTCCACCTCTACCAGGAAAAGCGCAGCGGCCCTTCGTGTTCTTCGCGATCGACTTCATTCTCGCCCCCGATTGAGCGGAACTTGAACGCCGACTTTGCCCTGAGGCCTTCTCTTCCGGGCAGTGCTCAGGTTCCGGTGTCGTGCCGCGCATGGTTGGAGAGCCGATCGAGGGTGCAGAACTATCCTTCGACCATAAGGTTCCTTTGGATCATCGCGGGGATCGCCGATGCGATCCGAGACCAGCGCTACGAGGAGGCCTACCTGCGGTCTCTGCTGGGGCTCGCTGCGGGAGATCAACTTTCGATCGACAGAGGGAGCTGGCATGTGGCCAGCGAGGTTCTGCTGGAAGACCCACCGCCATTTCCTTCCTTCACGTCCCACACCCTGCCAACGGGCGCGGAGGTGCCCTTTACAAAGTTGATCGACTCCAGGTGGATCGAAATCTTCGTCGCCCGCCTCCGCGAAGTCGACCTCTACCTGGAGTCCCGTCGGAAACTGGCCTCAGGAGTTGGAGGCGGGCAGCGACGGGTAGAAGAGCCTGGCGTTCCTCAGGGGCGCGACGAGAAGGACGAGGCCCCGCCTGGGCCAGAGACATTTGAAGGGGAAGGGCCGGGGCACGGCGACCGCCCCGAACGAGGGGAAGTGATTTCTAAAAGCCCAACGGGGAAGGCCACGCATAGTGCTTCGACGGAGCTGGTAAGGGTTCCTGGATCTGGTGCAACAACCGTGGATCCCGCTGCATTGTGGAAGGCTCTTCCCCGGCTTTTGCTTGCAAGTGACAATTCATTTTCGCAGTTTTTCAGCAGCTACTTTTATGAAGCCCGTGAAAGCCCTGAGTATGGGCGTACCGCATCGTCTCCCTGGCCTATGCCCCTACCGTACTTCGAGCTGTGCCAGGAAGGGAAACACAGTCTTGCTTTTGACGCCGATGCCCGCAGTGAGCATGCGCTTAAGGCTGCTGCAAACTTGCTGGTGGCTTCGTTGTCCTGGCTTCATCTCGGCAGGCCCCGTGAAGCTCCTGCTCATATCCGAGGTGGCCGAGTTTTAGACCAGGAACAACTTGAGCATGTCAATCGGCTTGAGGAGATGATGCGAGATGTTATTTGCCATGCGCCCGTGACTGCCGAGGACATGGGGCGGGTGGCTTCGAAGATCGAAAACTTAGAGGACATTGCTCGCACTTTGCGAAAGAAGTCAGAGAAGCTGGCCACGTTGTGTCGAGGCTATGGACAAAGCGGCTCCGCCGTGCGTTCTGCGGATCCTGTCGAGATGGACTTTGTCGGCGAGGCCCGTGGTGAGATTTCAGGCACTACTACCGCAAAGCCCGTAGTCGCTTCGAGATTGGAGTTTGGCAGGCCCCCGAAATTTGATCCGGCTCAGTTCATGGACGCAACCAGCCTAGACCGCTACTTGCACCCTTTAGACCATGCTGTCCCGGAAGACGATTGTCCTGAGCCTCCACCGAAGGCGCGAATCCTGGCGACTCCGTCGGAGAGGATCGCGCTCTTCAAAAAGCTGGATCAGAGTGGGAGGCTGAAGTTCATTCCGGTGTCTGCAGCCCGAAAGCGGTGCCTTAACGGTTTGTTCAGCGTTCCGAAGTCGCTGACTGCTGACAGGATGATATTGGATGCCAGAGGCCCAAACCTTCTTGAGCCCGGGCTGAACCGTTGGACCCAATCCCTTGGATGTGCGGAGGCCGTCTTGCAGCTGCGGCTCGCCGAGAACGAGATTCTCGTCCTGTCGGGTGCTGACCTCAAAGACTATTACTATCACTACGTGATCAGCCATCAACGACTTGTCAGGAATGCTCTTGCTGGGACCGTCGACGAGCCGATGGCCCGGACCTTCAGCTGCTTCGAGAATCACCTCTCAGGCAAGGGCCCCTTTCGAGCTGCTCTGAATAGCATGGCCATGGGGGACCTCAACAGCGTAGAGTTCGGCCAGCTGGCTCACTTATCGCTCAGTCTGCAGGCCGAGGTCTTCTTCCCGGAGGAGATGCTCACTCTTAAGTCCAGAGCCCCGCGAGCTTCAATCGCAGGCGGGGTCGTGATCGATGATTTGTTCATTGCCGAGAAGATGGATAGGTCTAGAACATGCGAACTTGGGAGTGGGACGAGCGTGGGAGCCGCAAGACTTAAGCGAGCCGCTGATGCATATGTTCGAGGCGGGCTCCAGCAGAACCTCAAGAAGTCGTTCAGCGAACAGCTCCGGGCTGAGGTGTGGGGTGCCGAGATAGACGGGGAAGCCGGGACCTGCCGACCCTTGACTTCCAGGCTGATCCCTGTCCTGTCGATCACAGTCGACATAATCCGGACGAAGGCTGCATCCCGACACATCCTGGCCTCCGTTGCGGGGTTCTTTGTTGCTATCTTCCAATTTCGGAGACGTTGCATGTCGCTTCTCGAGGAGATCTTCAAAGCTCCGCGATGGCTCGATGAGCACAAAGCATTCCGGATCTGGCCTGCGTTGGAGGCCGAGTTGTGGATGCTGGTGTTGGTGGCCCCGGCCGTTCGGTTCAACCTTCGGAGCCGCTACTGCGAAGAAGTGTCAGCCACGGATGCGTCTGATAGTTGGGAGGCTGAAGTGTCGCAGATCTTCCCGGAGGCGTTTGTCGCGGAGCTTAGCCGCCACAGTCTTCGAAAGTCGACGTGGACCAAGCTTCTGCGCCCGGCCCAGGCTATATCTCGCTGTGCCGGAGTTCTTGACCCCTCCGAGGAATTGCCAGGCGGGGTTCCCTTTGACTATCACCCTGTGTGGCAAGCGCTGTTCCGATCCGTCAAGTTCAAGGAAGTTTGGCGCAGGAGGATCTGGAGGCCCCGGCACATTAACGTTCACGAGCTTCGGACACTGCTTGCTTCTGAGCGACGCCGGGGACTTGCATCTCCTGCCTCAAGCATCGTGTCAGCCAGCGATTCACAGGTCTCGCTAGGTGCGGCCTTGAAAGGACGGTCAGCCTCTCCCAGATTGAACGGCATCTTGCGTCAGAGCCTTCCAGAGCATCTTTCAGCCGATATCAGCGGTATTTATGCCTATGTAGGTACTTCTGACAATCCTGCGGACGACCCTACTAGGCATGCCCCTGTTCGCGATGCACGAGAAGCACTGCCTCTGTGGCTGGAGCGAGCTCTTGGCGGCTCGTATGGGGAGCTTGAGGATTTCCTGAAGGCCTATGAGTTGGACACCGTCAGTATGCTTGGGCTTCCCCCTTTCGAGGAAATCGTCCCTCTGGCTACTGCTCCTGCTGCAGTACCCCGACCTGATCGGCGACGGTTCTTTCTGGAAAGTCTGGGAAAAGACAGCCTCCCCACTGCAGCTGAGGACTTTGCGCCAGCTTTGCTGCTACGCCATGACTTCGGGAAAGAGGAGCTTCTGCGTCTTCTTCGGATGCTCCCAAATGAGTCACCGCCTCGTGGCGTTGCCGAGGAGGGCTCAGGGTCTTTTTCTGGTGGGATGTTTGTTCACGGCGGAGTGGTGGGTCTGCGCCGCAACAGCAGGAGCTACCCACAGAGCGAAAAGGCGGTGATGGACTTTGCCACCCGCTGCTTCCCTGGGCACGAATTTACGAGCTACGCTTTTCTCCAGAACCTGAAGACTCCTCTACATCGCGATTCGCACAATAGCGCTGAGAGCACAAACCTCGTTATTGCTCTTACCTCTTTTTCGGGCGGCGAGCTTTGGGTCGCGGCCGAGGACGGCGGCATCTATGAGGAGATTGACGGGAAAAGAGTAGCAGGTAAAAACCTTGGTTTTCAGTCTGGTTATGTGGAGTTCCATCCTCGCCAATGGCACTTTACTCGTGATTGGACTGGGGACCGAGCGGTTTTGGTGCTCTACAGCATCCGAGATTACCTCAAGGTCGCACTGAGCGATGCAATTGTCCTCTCCGGGGCTGGCTATCACTTGCCGAGCGAGCTTTACAAGAAGTTTCGATCTTTGAAGTTGCCCCCTCACTGCATCTCCGCAGCCAAGGGCGAGGAGTTGGTAGCAGGGAAAGAGTACGAGTTAGAGCAGGTGCGAGTCGTCGGAGCAGAGCCGCAGAGCGGAAATGTTTTCGAGTTGCCTCCTGATATCGTTTCAAGTTTGTTGCAGTTTGACTCCGAACAGTTTGTCCTCCCCAAGAAAGGGCGCAAGCGCCTTGGCGAGTTTCTTCTGCAACCAGGGTTCCTTGACCTGTACTCGGGCTCCCGCGGGGTCGCCCATGAGCTAGCCAGAATCAGCAAGACCTGGGTCCTGACGTTCGACTACTCTAGGTCTCAGTCTGAGGATCTGCTTTCTGAAAAGTTGCAGGGGCTGCTCTTGCGACTCATCCGCGGAGGAGCCTTTCTCGGCGTCGGCGGAGGCCCAGTTTGCTCTTCGCTCTCCCGGGCCATCCGGCCCCCTGTCAGGAGCTTGGAGTACCCAGCTGGACTACCTGACGCTAGACCATCCATGCGAGAAAAGAATGACGAAGGAAATCAGCACGCTGACTTCATGGCCTCGGTTGCAGAGTTGTGCCAAGAGCTGGACCTGCCATGTTGGGTCGAGAACCCCCATGGTAGCTACCTCTGGGCGCTGCCTCGCTGGCGACGTTTTTTGGGCGACGACTGGAGATCAGTGTGCTGGGTCGTCGACTACTGTGCCTTGGGCGCTCCTTGGCGGAAGCGCACCCGGTTCTACGTGGGGAGGCGCCATGGTGGTCAGTCGCTGCTATGTCCTGGAGGTTGTCGTCATCAGCGCCTGAGCGGCTACTCGAGCCTTCATCGCCAGCAGTGGACTAAGGTTGCCGAGGCATATCCCCGGGAGATGAACACCTTTCTCGCCTACCTACCACCTGGCAAACCGCACTCTACAAGGAACCGAGCGGCGCCGCCTTGACCTCGCAGCATGCGCCCGGTGCATAGGAGCTCGGATCGGAGAAGCCAAAGTGCCTGGACCCCGCAAGGAGCTTATCGTTGGCTCTCTTGAAGAGGTCTCGCTGGTGACGCCCACGACTGCGAAGCTCCAGAGTCGGGTCCTGGGCGAGTTCGAGGCATGGTTGCTAGAGGGACTTAGTGACTCTGCTCTTAGAAGCCTGTCTAGCTGCGCCATGGCCTACTGTGTCTTTCTGCGCGCATACGGCGATCATCTGTACCGAAGTGGTGGGCCTATGTATGTCTTCCGACATCTTCTGGCCTACATGCAGAAAAATAAGCTTCACCTTCGACCCTTCTTATCGCTGGGATGGGACCTGCTGTCAAGGTGGGAGCATCCAGCCTGTACGGCACCGAGTTCCGATGCCTGAAGCCCTTTTCAAAGCTCTCTTTGCCCTCGGGCTTCTGCGTGGATGGATAAGATGGTGTGCAATCCTGGGGCTCGCTTACTTTGGGATCGCCCGGGCTGGAGAGCCTCTCCGCGCTCAGCGCAGGGATCTTCTGCTGCCTTCTGATACGCTATCTGACCCTGGCGTTGGTGTCTTTATGGCTGTGCGAGCGCCAAAGACGGCTTTTCGAGGAAAAGGCAGGATTCAGCATATCTGTGTCAAGGATCGCGCATTCTGCGCTTTCTTGGAAACGGTGTTTTCTCAGGTGCCAGCTGACGATATGTTGTATCGAGGCTCGGCTTCCTCCTTTCGAAAGCGCTGGGACGAGCTCCTTTTCCTGCTGTCGGTTCCGAAGTCACTGAGCATCACGCCTGGCGGCCTTCGGGGAGGCGGAGCCGTAAAGTCGTACAGAGACGGGCTCAGCATTTCGGATTTGATGTGGCGGATGCGGGTTCGTCACTCTGCCACTCTGGAGTCCTACTTGCAAGAAGTTGCAGCTCTTTCTGTTTTGCCAAAGCTTTCTGCTGAAAGTCGACGTCGAGTCTCTGCTGCTTGTGCTTTCTACCAACCGGCTTTGAGCGCCTACTCTTTCAGCAGCGGCTAACGCTCTCGCAGCTGTTCTGGATGGCGGCGCACGCTGCCCCTGTCGCTGTGGCCGCTGGCTTACAGGTGGAACGAGGCTTGACTGCGCCTTTTTCTTGTGCAGCTGCAGTCTGGCTTGCTAAGCTTTTCGACGCTGTGTGCTGCCGGCTCGGGCGTCAGCTCTAGCTTCTTACGTCTTCGACCTGTTGGGCTACGGCTGCTGAAAACAAGAGTGGGCGTTGCCCTTCGAGAGGGAACTGAGTGAGGAAGCTGCATGATCGTTCATGCTGCAAACGAGCGTGATTCCCGCAGCTTTTAGAGCCCTCCCTCCCACCCGTGGGGAACGAGGCTTGACTGCGCCCTTTTCTTGTGCAGCTGCAGTTGGCTTGCTAAGCTTTTCGACGCTGTGTGCTGCCGGCTCGGGCGTCAGCTCTAGCTTCTTACGTCTTCGACCTGTTGGGCTACGGCTGCTGAAAACAAGAGTGGGCGTTGCCCTTCGAGAGGGAACTGAGTGAGGAAGCTGCATGACAGTGCACTCCGAGAGTCGAGGCGTTGCGACGCGGCCACCGCTGCGATGCATCCGTCTTTGATGGTGAGGCTGGGCAGATGGAGGTGTCTTCCCCACACACTCAATTCTCAAGTCATACCTCTGGTTGCTCGCGGGGATGTGTGTGTGTGTGTGTGTCTGTGTGTTGTTGTTTGTTTGTTTGTTTTTTTTGTGTGTGGGTGGGTGGGTTAGGATTTGGACAGCAGTCGAAGAAGATGAGGTTGATCACAAGTAATGCTAGCCACGCGCGGGTTCTCCGATTCTCAGGGAGCTCTTTGAACCACAGCACTTGCAACACCACTGCATGGCAGATCAGGTGCTGTGCATCAGTCTTCCCTCATGCAAATCGCGGCGGCGACACACAGAGAAGGAGCTGACATGCTGCTCGGTGTGTTTCCTCCATTTTTAAAAACTCGGTCTTTGCGAGGTTTCCGTAATTTCGGGATCTTCGCATTGTCAGGGATCCTCTGGGCCTTCCCGAAATTTAGTTTTTTTTTGGACTTTTCAGGTTTCCTGTGCTTGTCAGCTTTTGGATTCGGTATTTTTCTTTTGTTTCGGGGTCTGTTCAACACTTTCTTCGGACTCTTCCGGCTTCGACGTGTGTTGAGGGGTGGGTAGGTGCCGGGGGGGGGGGCGGAGGACCGACCACGACTCTCAACGTCGTTGGTGATGATGATGTTGTTACAAGTCGAACCCCAAACTACAGCACTTGTTCTTCCCAAATCCCTAATTTAGGCCGCAACTATATGCCTTGCTCGGAAATCACAGGCCTGCCGCTGTTCTCTGCTTCTTGTAACATAACGTGACCTCCTCCCGTACCAGGGACGTATACGTACCAAGAACCGTCTGGTTCGTCGGGTCTTGACAGAAGTTCAGACCACTGTCCTAAATCACGGAGCCGAGCTGACCCAAGCCATTAAGTCGGTACCTGAAGATTCCGCTCGTCCGATTTGCACGTCTTACCTCGGATGTTATGAACGCAGATTGATGATCCCTTCAGACATGCTGATGTAGGCTCTTGCATCGGTGATGCAATAGCATAGCTACATAGCGAATGCAATGGACCCGGGAGGCGGAAGCATCGCACTGAATCGGGTTGTGCGTGGCCTCAGGTTGGGGTTTCCCCTTGCCTCGCTTTGTGGAAGCTCTCGGCCCGAATGATGAGGCCAGGTGGCCTGCAGAAAGGGGAGCTTTGCCAGGTGGAACTTGCCATCAGTTCACGTAGCGCGCCCACAAGCCATCGGTTGCACTGCAAGCTCAGCATATCATAGTCCAAGCTCGACGTAGTTTTTTGACGTGTAGCTTCAGAGACGGTTCATAGCATGAGATGGCTGTGAAGACGCTGACGTTGTCGCAAGGAAGTGCTGCGGTGGTTCAACTCGCCGAGCTTGGGCCGGAAATCGGAGAATGGCAGCTGCTTTCTTTCTCTCCTGTTGCATACGGCGGAAGTTCTTGAATGGGCTTTGAATGGGCTTCGGCAAGATGTTAAGGGGCGTGTATTGTCACTGAAACCGTGTATGACTAAAAAGCTTTACTTTCAGCAGCGAGTTGCTTGCGATGCGTTGGTTTGTCATAATCTCAGATTCGAGGAGAGTTGCAAAGTTTCCACCGTGCTTCCGTTGTGGCTTGGTCACTGACTGCTGCTGCGCGAACAATGATATGCCCCTTGGCAAGAGCACCGTGAGCTGGTCCAGGTCGGAACTGGAGCCCAAAACGACGAAGAACACATCAAACAACGAAGTTGTAATATTTTTAATCATATTCAGATGCTGTATGCACAGGAACACACGAGGAGCAACTCCACCTTTCATAGTTGGCTGAGCTTGGCTACATACTTCATACCACAGCACGACACTCGACGATCTGTAGAGTTGCTTCTCTCCTCTACCGCATCCCAGACTGAACTCCGCAACGTTTCCACCACTGTCTGCAGCCCTACATCTCTGGTCCCTGGCTTTGATACGTGAATTCGTGTATTATTGTCGGGTTGTTGGCCCTTCTGTGTCCTTACGGTTTCTCTTGTCCAGTGCTCCATTTCCAGCCTCGGTGGTTGCGGACGGGAGCTTGGACGGCCCGTCGACAAGGCTCACAGTTGGATAGGAAGATGAAGAGACCCACGCGGGAGTCTTGAACATGGAAATGACTTAGATGCAAATGTGGCCGCTGTAATTTCGACCTCGACTTCCAAACATCACACATACTCAGGCATGCTCTGAGGCCAACTCTTGGGCACGTAGCACTACAACTATCTTTTTCTTTTTTGGAGGCTCTTTCCCTACTGTCCAGCTCTCCGTCCGTCCAGGCTGTTGGAGCAGGTAGCGAACTGGCTGTCCTTCCGGAAGGCTTCAGGGTTGACGTTTTGGACACATGCTTTGTTTGAAAGCAGATGTGGCCAAACGGCAAGAGAAAGACTTTGCTGTGGGACATGTCTGTGTTGTGTTTTCGTCAGTCAGAACACAAAGCTGCTCCGGCAAGTGCAGCGAAGTTCAAGCAATGCAGCACCGGACCTGGGGAGGCCTGGACAGAGATCGCCAACTCTACAAAGGAGTGGCATTTGCTCGTGGAGGATGATGTGGCTTGTCTTCAACTTTGGCAACGGTATGCCTCACTTTGTCAAGTTAGACTTCAGGGTCGAGTCAGCATCTAAGCTTCGAAAGCTGCAGCGTCTTGGTCCAGAGAAACAAAGACAGAGGGCTCGTGCTTCAAAGTTGGCTACTCACTCGACTCAGTCGCACGCCTTCAGCACGAACCTTTGGTTGTCGGATGTGTTTGCAACTCGTGGTTCTGCTTCGCCTCGAGGAAGAACCATCTTGCACGTACTCTAATGGTCTTGTCGCCGTCAACATCCAACTGCCTCCTGGTCCTAGTACACGCTCTGGCATGCTGGGACGATGAACCGGATCCCTGAGTACTTACTTACAACGCATGCACTCCCGAAGCGCAAAGGTCAAATTCACGCACAAAGCGGCGGAATGTTGGAACGAACTGGTCACGCTCCTCGGTGACAGCAAGGGGGTTTCACTGGCCAGGGTAAAGGCACTCTTTGTGGATTGGCCGGGTTCTCATACTGGCGTTCCTGATGCTATCCGTGCATGATTTTGATTTTGGGTTTGAGGTTTCAGCAAGCAAGTCGATGCACGTCGATGCGCGGCCAGACTCTTCAACTTCTCCTGGAAGCCGTCGCACCAACTGCATGCCCCAATGCCCTCCGGAGTCAAGGCTTGAAGCCCCACGTCTCAGAGCTGAGGCCAGAGTTGTTGCAGGAGAACACAGGCACTTCATGGGCTTCATATGACTGCTGTGGGCATCCAGCATGTGCCTGAACTGAGAAATCCCGTAGCGTGTCAACTTGCGGATCTGATGTTGGAAACCTTTGACGAGAACGTGTGAAGGACCAGACAAGTCAGATCAAATCCTTAATTGTCATGAGTGCGACTGTGTCAGCACCAGGATTTAGAGCATATTCAGAGCCCGTACGTTTAGCACACGAACCGGTCTGCCATTGCAAAGGCTTGTCGACAAATCCTTACAGTACCGAATGGGAACGATGAAGGCACTTGTAATGAAACGGCTTGACATTGAAGGGACGGGAACGTTTGAAGGGTTGCAGGCCCGGAGCCCAAAAAGAGCCGGTAGTGCCGCCACAACGGAATGATTATGCCCGGAAGAGAGGCAAAGCTCTCCTTTCTACTCGTACTTGCATTTCGACCTCTTTCATCGCGAAGAGGGCGACAAGTCGACAGTAGGATGACACTTGGTTCTTGGCGTTGATCCCGGCCAGGACAGGTCGCGACCCACAAAGACAGATCTGTCCTTCGTCAGTCCTGTAAGCTTCGCCTTCGTGCCTGGGAGGTGAGCCCTGCTTGGTCCGCTGTGGATGGCAGCTGGGATGCTGGGATGATCTAATGGTTGTAAAGCTGTACTGCCAGGCAATCAGCACCGAATGCACAGCCACTTTGGCACTCTTCGGAAGAGCCGAGGACTTGAGTATGTCGACGAGGCACCGGTGGTAAGACCTATCTTTAAGACAGACCGCTTCGATAGAGGGGTGGGGGGTTGTTGTTCATGGATTTGGGGAACAACAACCCCCCCCCCCCCCCCCCCCCCCCCCCTTGTTGTTCCCATTTTGAGAGAACAATAACACCCCCCCTTTTTTCTTTCCCTTCGTTTCTTGGAACAACAACCCCCCCCCCTTGTTGTTCAACCCCCCTCCCCCCTTGTTGTTCAACCCCCCCCCTGTTGTTCTTCGAACAACAACCCCCCCCCCCCCCCCCCTGTTGTTCACCCCCCCCTGATGTTCTTCCCCTTCGAACAACACCCCCCCCCCCTTGTTTGTTCAACCTCCCCCCCCCCTTCCCCGCGCCTCCGCCCACGCGGTTTTCCTGCCCCCGCTCCCCCCCCCCTTGTTGTTCCCCTTTTGAAGGAACAACAACCCCCCCCCCCCCCGTGCCGATACACCCCCAAGGAATACTCCTTGTAGGAGGTGTATGACCAGTTTATTCCCTAAGGATCAAAGGGCAGCGCCCTGCACACGGACAGTAGTTGTTTTGTCTTGCTACGCAAGGAGAGCTTGTCTTGTCTCAATATGGTAAAACCACTGTGAGCCAATGGGCAGCGGAATGTATATGTATGAGCATGCAGCCATTGCTGTAGGTACCTGTTAGAGCTACCCCTTTAGAGGTTTATGGTTTCAAACAGACACTAATTTTCTTTTACCGGAAGCATGGCCGCACATTCACACATATACTATTATGCCCACTGTCACAGTTGCGGAGTCTGGACTCATGATGAAAACAGCATATTATTTAAGCTAGGTATAGCACTGAAGTACACTGCTGAGGACACTCCTTTTGCACACACTCATGCATGTTGGTCAGAGAGATCGTCTGTACAAGATCATGTCTGGTGATATTTTCTACATCGAATTATGCAGCCCTTCACTTTGCTCTTGTTAGAGCTTTGTGAGTCACTGTTGTGAAACTCCGAGATTTTCCTTATCTCAGATTTGGATCCAGGTTTGGATCATAGGCTCGAGCGTAGACGTTCGGATGTGGCTCATCCGGGTCTGAGTGATCTTCTTCGGAACTTGAATAAATTCCGAGTAGTCTGTTCTCAGCCCTGGTGAAGGCGGCGTCTGCAGTATCATATCCATGGTTGGATGTTGTCGCCTTTGGCTCGGCCTTTGGCGCAGCTTGTGAGCTGACTGGAGTTGCCTTGGCTTTAGCCGGTTGTGGCTGCTTAGCCTTTGCCCGTTCAGCCCTTCTTCTTTCAAGCTGTCCGTCTGAGGACGCCCATGATCTTTCACTTTCATCTCCTGAAGGAGATAAGGCGTGGGCATAAAGGCTATTCCAGTACTGTGCTGCAGAAGGAGTTAGGACTTCTTCATTGTCAGATTCTGACTGGTCTTCCTCAGAGCTTTGGTCGTCAAAGAGTGTCTCGAGGACATTTTTGAGATTGTTATTTCTTCGCTCTATCTCTAGTGAGGAATGGACCAATTGGTTAAAGACTGTCCTTGAGTCCTTCAGTGCTGTTAGAAGGATTTCCACTCTGGATAGAGTATCTTGGATGGTGTCAAGATGTTCCTTCCTTTCCTCCTTGTCTCTCTGGATAGAGCTTCGCAATGATTGTGCGATTCTGAGGAGGTCTGTGTATTTCGTAAGAGGCATAGTTACCGTTTGATTGTCATGTATGACAGTTGTTTCGTCGCCGCTTAAGTTCCTGAATAGGACTTCCACGACTGGTAGAAACTCCGTGCTCCACGGTTCCTCTTCATCATATGTTTCTACGTGCTGTAGCACGCGTTGTGTAAACTGATCGGCTGCTTCTACCGTTGCATCGATAGAGCTGACGTGTCTTGCTGCCATGTTTCGGCACGTAATGTTAATTGCCTGGCCTTGATTGGCTTCGTTAAGTGCAGCGTCTGCATAGGTGCAGAGTCCACTGTTGTGGGCTTCTCTGGCTGCCTTTCGTTGAATGCGCCGATTTTGACCTCCTCTTCTGGTAGGACCTTTTGGTCTCGGAGGATCTGAAGGTACTGTTCCTTTCGCCTTTGGCGGAGGACTCTTAGGTGGAGGTGACATGTTTGCCTTGTTAGGCCCTGGTGGCATTGCCTTGGGCGCTGACGACGATGCGGCACTTGAGAGTGCAGATGTACCTTTGGCTTTTGCCGAGGATCCCTTGGGGATCGATGTATAGGTAATCTGCATGGCTTCTTCGGCCATTTGTGCATGCAATGCATCTTTGAATAATTGCGTCATATGAGGAGTGGTACTTGCATCATCGTAGGTCTGGAAGCGCTCAATGTCTCTTTCGGTGCCACGTGGACGTGTATCACCTCTTTGAAAAGGATCGTTCCTGCGAATCTCCGCAACTTGTACTGCATGGAGGCAGTTTTTGCACAGCACCTTCCTGCAAACATCTCTTGCTTGCTTGAGCTGGTAACAGCTGTCTGAGAGATGGTAGACTTCGCTTCGGGAAGTATGCCAGATAGGTCGCAGATCAGTTGTTTCTCCGGAATTGACCCTGTTGGGTCCTAAAGGTTCACGCGTCTGCGGTTCATCCTCGGGTTCGAGGAATGGAACTCTTTGGTTCGCTGCTGCTTTTGATTTTGGTTGTTGGCGCTCCATACATCTGATAGGAGGCCTGGTAATCTGCTTCCACATCCAGTGTAAGCCCATTAGCAGCAGAAACACATTCCACGCGATGCTGAAGACGGAGAAGTCCTGCTCACTGGTTAGTGAGTTTGGAAGTGAAGTTTCATCAGTCTTGATAGACTCTGCGTTCGCTCCACCTCGGTTGCGGTGTCCGAACCAGCCCGACAATCCCGCTGCTGTAGCAGCTGTTCTGAGTGCCTTGCCGCTCGGAGCAGACGGTGGACGCGATGCCTTCCTTCTTCTTCTCCGGCTGGAGGATTCGTCCTCTTGTTCCTCTTCATCTCTCTGAGCAGACATCAAGTTTGATGTTTCTCTTTCGTGTTCTTCGATGTCACTTTTTGTTGGTGACGGTTCTTCTTCTAGTCCATCCAGCTCTTCCAAAGACATGTTGAGCTTGTCAACAATATTGGTTCTTTGAGGCCTGGACCTTGATCTTGGTAGATCTTGTTGTGAAGAGGACGATGATTCCTGGTTCCTTCTTGGAGGAGGACCTTCAGGCTCGCTGGGACGTTCAGGCTGTGGCCATTCCCAGAATCTTCCGTATCTGTGATGGCTACCTGATGGTTGCGATTTGTCGTACCAGCTGTTGCCGGATGAGTAAACGAATGAATCTTTGTAACCCCAGTATTCAGCATTACGCTGCTTGAAAGCCTTTCGCTTGTCAGCGATCTTCTGAACCTGGGCATCTGACCGGTTGTGTTTCCCTTTTGTAAGGATTGGTTGTATCGTGAAGCCCAAAGGGCTGTGCCAATCTTTGTCAGAGGGACTCAACCATAGGTCAAGGTTAGAAAAAGTTGAATAGTACTGCTTGACTGAGACAAACAGACGGATATCAATATCCCTGTTATTGTTCATGTCCTGCCACATATCTGAGATTCGCTCCCAGTATGTTCTTTCGGCGGCAGGTGTAACATCTCTTGGACTAGGTGACGCCGTGTGCGGCGTTTTACTCCAGTCAAGGATATAACTGTTGATACAGTCAAGGTCAGCAACTTTCTTCGCCGGGTCCGCCGGTAGACGATCTGCACGTGCCAGTCTGTGCTGGTCGGAGTTGTTCAAGCAAAGATGTCGCACTTGTGAGTGCCTTCCTGCTATTTTGTTGAATGCTGCAAGTTTCTTCTCCAGGTATAGAGAAAACAAACTGTTTCGCGGGTGAACGTCTCCACCTTTTAAGGTGAGCCTCGACGCAATATTATTGAGATCTCCCGCTATTACATCCGGTTTAAAAGGGAGAATCTCGTTGAGGAACGCGTTCACCAGTTCGCGTCTCTGTTCTTCCTTATGAGTCATGAATGAGTTGAAATGGACGATCGCGATGGTGATGACCTTGTAAGGCCCTTTTGTACACCACATCTCGTCAAGATCGTTCGATGCTTCTTGTGAGAAGATCTCTGCGTATGACTCAAAGTCTTCCTCTGGTGGCTCATCACCCTCGACATGGCCGTTCCATTCACAGAGAACCGGCGAGGGGTCGAGGTTCGACAGTGTCAGGCACGCCTCTGGTGAGAGGTAAGAGCCATCAGTGGGTCCATCCTTGTCAGGATTTTTGCCCTTGAGTGGGTCATATCCGATAATCTGCATGAACTCGTCTCTCGTCATCCTTTGGCCAGAATATGGGTGGACCCATTCTTTTGCCTCTGGATGGTACTGTGGTACCCAAAGGTGAGGCGGCATACCGCACCGTGGCATGCCCACAGTCGCTTCTTGGGACCACCATTCTTAGGCTTCATTGTTCGA